TTATTGTTACCCACCCCAAATTTAACGAAAGGTTTAATTAAAATCAATTATCTATAATTCAAAAAATCCATAGAAGAAAAGCAAATTTAAACCAAAATAGAAATATAGAATTATAAAGATGAGCAGAAAAGGCAATAAAATAGAAAAGAAACAGTGGATAAAGTTAACAAAGGCAAAAGTAGATTGGTTAAAAAGATTAATAAAAAAGTTGGTTAAACCCCTAACAAAACTGGTCAGGTAAAAAGCCAGGGAAAAGCTATCAATATATATATTAAAAAGCAGGAATATTATAGATACCATTGTCATAACAATAATCAGAATGTTCTAGACAACTTTATATAAAAAATATTTGCAGTTACATGAAGTAGACAAGTTTCTTAAGATACAATTTACCAAATTTGACAAAAGAAATAGAAAATATGAATACTTATGTATTTGTTTCAGAAATTGAATTTGTGGTAAAAATGTCCCCAAATATAAATTCTAGGCCCACATAACCTAAATGGTAAATATTGGCCAAAATATTAAAAAGAGAAATAACACCAACATTCGTACAAAAACTCTTTCAAAAAAGAGGGGAGGAGGAAACACTTTCCAAACTATTTTATCAGGCCAGTATAACCCAAACACCAAAACCTGGTAAAGATATGGTAAGAAAATGAAATTACAGATCTACTAGTATATCCTTTATAAGTACGTATACATAAGAAGTCCTTATCACAGTGTAACTATATTAGAGACTATAAAATATTTCTGTGTATCTGAAACCTGTATAATTTTAGAGAAATTGAAGACATGAACTAAATGGACAGTTGTATCTTGCTTGTGGATTAAATGACTCAATATTGTTAAGATGTCAGTTCTTTCCAAATTGATTTGGAAGTCATAATAAAAATATTAGGATTTTTTTCATTTAGAAACTGATCACATAATTCCAAAATTTACTTGAAAATGCAAAAGACCTAGGATAGCCAAAAGAAGCTTCATGGTAGAGTTAGAAGTTATACTACCTGGTTTCAAAGGTAAGTATACTAATAAAAGGGCAATATGCTAATTAGACCGGGAGAACTTCCGGACATCCTTCTGGACAAAGCCATGGGGGTGGGGCAGAGGCAGAGGCGATTAGGAGTGAGCAGACTGCAGAGGGGGAGTCAGTTGGGGGTGAGCAGGCCAGCGGGAAGTTGGGGGCAAGCAGCTGGCAAGGGGGGGCAGTTGGGGGCCATCAGGCTGGGGGGGGGGGGCAGTTGGGGGCGATCAGGCCTCCAGTAGGGGCAGTTAGGGTGATCAGACCAGAAGGGGGGCAAATTGGGGGTGACCAGGCCAGCAGGCAGAGTGATTAGGGGTGATCAGGCAGTCAGGTGAATGGTTAAGAGCCAGCAGTCTCAAATTGCAAGAGATATCTGGCCTGGACTGGTTTGGCTCAATGGATCAAGCATCGGCTTGGAGACTGAAGGGTCCCGGGTTCGATTCCGGTTGAGGGCATGTACCTTGGTTGCGGGCACATCCCCAGTAGGGGGTGTGCAAGAGGCAGCTGATTGATGACTCTCTCTCATCGATGTTTCTAACTATCTCTTTCCCTTCCTCTCTGTACAAAATCAATAAAATATATTAAAAAAAAAAAAAAAGAGAGAGAGAGAGAGAGAGAGAGAGAGAGAGATGTCTGACTGCCAGTTTAGGCCCAATCCCACAGGGCAGTAGGACATCCCCCAAGGGGTCCCAGATTGAAGAGGGTGCAGGCCAGGCGAGCAATTACGCCCCTCCCCCGCCCCGTGCCCGAATTTCATACACCGGACCACTATTACAGCTGTGGTGATCAAGACAGTTTGCTATTAGTGAACATAAATGAACAGAATATGAGAGTCCAGAAATAGACCCATATTTACATAGCAAATTAATTTTAAAGAGGCACCAAAAAAATTAAATGGAGATGTATATTTTCAACAATGAGAATAAATAAACATATCTTTATGGGGATTAGCTTCACATCATACACATGAATGAATTTGAGATGGATCACAGACAAACATAAAAGATTATAATGCTTTCAGAGAAAAAAAAGGATAATTTCTTCATGACCTTGGAATAGACAGAACAAAAAAAGAACATAATAAAGGAGAAAAAATATTGACTACATAAAAAATAAAGTACTTTGTTCCCCAAAGTCACCATGAAGAAAACACAGAGGTAAGCCACAGACAAGGGAGAAATGCTAGCAAAAGACTTACATCTTTACATAAAGGATTCCAAAGACTCTGTATTGACAAGAAGCCTAAATAAAAAGTGTCCAGAGACATAAACATTTCAAAAAAAGGACAAATTGCAATAAGCATATGAAAAAGAGTTAAATATCATTTGTCATCATGCAATTTAAAATCATGGGAGCTAATAGACATCTGGAATTCTCATGACTGTACATAAATGTACATAAAATGGCACATACAATCATTTTGGAAAACTTTATGGCCCAACAATCCTATTAGTTATTTCATAATGAAATGAAAATATGTCCACAAAGCATGTTCATAACTATATATAACCACCTCAAACTCCAAATAATCCAAGGGTCCATAAACAAGAGAAAGGATGAGTAGAATGTTCATAAAATGAAACACCACTGAGTAGCAAAAACAAACGGGGAGGTATATGTAACAACATGAATGAAAAGTATTTTGAGTAATAAAGACCCCTACAAAAGTGAACACCTTGTATAATTCCACTTTTTTTAAAAAAATTCAAGGACAGTTAAGACTTTCCTATGAAGAGAGAACACAGGAATATGGTTGCTAAGGTCAGGGAGGGAGGAATACATTCCAGGGAACTTTTTGGGATGATGGGAAGGTTCTTTACTGGGTTGAGGAATGATTGCCAGCAAACGATAGAACATAATCCTAAAGTCTATGCACTTCGTTGTAGACAAATTTTACTTGAATACAAACCACTTTACCTCCAGAATCAGTTTTAAAAAGTCTGCTTTATCAGAGGGCTCTCTGCCACTCCCCAAAAGAGCTGTTTGGAGACATGTGGACTTATCTCCATTTACAGTAACTTTGTCTTTTAAGTCAGTTAGCTCTTAAGAATAAAACTTGAATTGCTTTTAAATTTACTAAATTTTATGGTGAAATGCTGCTCATAAAATTTTTTGTCCTAAATCTCTTATTAAAAATACAATCCATCATATCTATATAACAAAAGCCCATGTGACCATTCTGGCAGAACAACAGGTCACTATGACACGCACTGACCACCAGGGGGCAGATGCACAGCGCAGGAGCTGCCCCCCTGTGGTCAGTGCGCTCCCAGAGGAGGAGCACTGCTCAGCCAGACGCCAGGCAGTGGTGAGAGCCCCTGTGCGGCAGCGCTAGGAGCAGCGAACAGGCAGGTGGTAAGGAGGGATGGTCCCAGACTGTTAGCGGACGCAGGCTGGGCTGAGGGACCTCCCTCCCCCAGTGCACAAATATCCTGCACCGGGCCTCTAGATATATAATAAAAGCTGAAATTACCCTAAAGGTTGTCTAAACTAGGGGTGTCGAACTCAATCAGAGAAGGGGCCAAAATCTAAAATCCAGCCTAAATCGCGGGCCGAATGGTTTACTGAACAGTCATAAACTGTCATTGTGATGGAAACGCAGTGGAGTGCAGTGATGACAGCGCGGTGCGGGCCACATTGCAAGGCCTGGCGGGACGGATTTGGCCCGCGGGCCTTGTGTTTGACACATGTGGTCTAAACCCTCACCTCCTTTAAAGAAAACTATGCTTAGATGAAGTGACCTTTCCAGGATCGTATTCATTTCAGAAATAAAAATATGTTACATATATCACACACCTTTGCAAATACTAATTCTTGGGCAAAGATAACAGCTTACCTTTAAATGAAAGTTGGTTAAACAATTATGTGTGTTTTAACTGGCAACTGAGCAAGCATCAGGAATAACAATTGTCATTAGAAGGTTAGAATATTTTATATGTAAATATGCACTATCAGTTATATTTTATTTTTTAAATATGTTTTTTTATTGATTTCAGAGAGGAAGGAAGAGACCTTCATGAGAGAGAATCATTGATCGACTGCCTCCTACCAGGGATCAAGCCCACAACTCTGAGCATGTGCCCTTGATTGTAATCAAACCTGGAACCCTTCAGTCTGCAGTCCAACATCCTATCCACTGAGCCAAACTGGCTAGGGCTGTTATATTTTAAGGAAAGCATGTATTTTCCATGGACCAAGGCATTTCCAAATTCTCCCTGGCTAGCTATTCATGAAAGATGCACTTTCTAGTTCAAAAGTGTTGGTCTTTACAGCTGGTACATTTTTATCAAGCCCCCTTTTCAGGGGCTGTACTGATCCTCTATACACCTGTGTAACCAAACAACTTTGAAAACTGCAGTTAGAGAAAAGCATAATGGTATTACAACGCAGGGTAAATGTAGTAAAATGTATTTCAACACACATTTGGCAGTGCTGGTTGTGATGAGCAGAGGCTTAACATGCTTAAATGATGAAAAAACACTTAATTATATAGGAAAAATTTTATTAGATAAATATAATTTCATAAACTTTAAAAATTACTGAGATCTGTACAATAACTACATTTACTAAAAATGCAGAAAATTTTTATAGGCTTATATACTAGACAGCCACAGTGTCTGAGGTCCAAAATTTAAACTAAGTGTTCTACAGTTACTAATTCCTCATAAAAATCTTACAGTCACCATTATTACAAACATATAATTAATTATGCTCTATTTTTGTAGGAATGTCATTCAAGTTATCTCACATAAACAACACATTAGTAATGTTTCATTTTTATGAAAATAGATTAACTCATTTCAGGATAGAAATAAGTGTCTCTAAAAGGGGACCCAAATTAATAAAACACGATTTACATAACTCTTTGGTGTTTCTTTCATCAGTACCTAGTATATCATACACCAAATTGTTCTTTACATAAAAAATACTAACATGAATGATTTCCCTTTTCCCTCAGACCCCAATCACTTTCAGACTAGCATACTTGAAAAAGTTGGTGTAATTTAAATTTTTTACTACACTTGACTCCTGCCTATCAGATAAGAGTCTCAAGTTTATCACACATGCCCAATAGCCCAATTTCACAACCTTATGCAGCAGAAAACACCCTGGTGTAAGTGAAAGTATTTCTGAACAGGGTGATGTGTCTCTTTTATCTTCTAACCAGGACAGTGCCAGAGCTTGGGTCAGGTCTGGGAAGCCTTCGGATATAATGGAAATTGAAACCCAAGGCGGATGGTTTTTAAGAGAAATTCACACTGTAAATTCTCCTCTTTCTTCATTCTTAACCTGGCAGCAAACCTGTAGTTCTACCAGCCAACACCCTGCCCCCCCTTACCCCCCCCCCCCCCCCCCCCAGGTGAACCTAATGCTTGCTAACGCTGCGCAGGGTGCTGAGTCATAAAACAGCTGACGGGCCATTTTGGAAACTGACTTGGTGCTCGCTACTATCTTCAGTGGTACAGCCGGCAGGCAAACACGTGAAGGAAAACAGATCTGAGACCAATAATTAACTAGTAATAACACATGTAGCATCTTACCCTGGTTTTGGCAGATAAGAGTAAGTTAATTAACATTGTATTTTCCAAAGGATTTTAAATAAATATGCAAAGGGGAAATTTTCTGAGATTCCTGGTTATGTAGTAAAAGTTTTACAATATGAGTATATTGGCAATAGAAAACTATTGGAAACTTACAGACAACACTGATATTCTCTTAAATAGAAGAAAACCTTTTTTCTTACAGTTATAAGATAATCTTCCTTTAAGTGGAGTAGGTTTTGAACAAAAGAATAGGGTAAGCATTATCAGTAGATGCATTTACATTTTTAAATATAAAGCTTTGAAATAACGTCAAACAGGAATGCAGGAAATTACATCAACCACACCTTGACCTAAGCACCATACAGGTCAGCTGACTTGCCTTGCTGCAGTGGTGAGAGACTTCTTGATGGCTTAGTAGTCCTTCTCTAGTGTCAGCAGTCAGTCTAGTTGATGGCAAATAAACACTGCTAGGTAGATATAATTGAATGTCATTTTGTTATAAGACATTCTAAGGAAAGCAAATTCCATAATATCCTCCATGAAATTAAACTACTGAATATTTTTAGCAATATTTCCTATTCTGGAATGTGAATTGGTAAGTGTAGCCAATGTACATTTTATTGGGCTAATTTGGAGTATTTAAGTTAAAGAAAAGCTATTTATAAAAATTAATATTTAAGCTGAAATTCACAACACAATATTCTTGCATTATTGAAACAAAGGTTATTTTAGCAAGAAAATAGTTTACCAATGAGCCAAGGTAAAGTCTTAATTCTTGACTATTCCCTATTAACCCAATTCAAGAAGTCTAATATTCATGAAATGAGGGAAGGGGTGGAAGGCTGCAAAATAAATCTTTAAAAGAGAATTATTTTGTCAACTGTATGGAAAACTTTAGCAAAACCTTATTTAACCATTTCCATATAGTTTAAATGTATATGTACACAATCTTTAATATGCTTAGGGCTGGGTAATAGTTCTTAAACGGTAAAATTTAGCGTTTTAGACTTTGTTTCACTTACATTCTTTAGCCATACCTGCAAATATACCTTATATTGAAACACTGGGCAGATTTCCCTTTGCTGTAGTAGTCTGCCATAACTCAGATAACATATACTAACTTAAAAATAACAGGATTCTTATCTGAGATCCTTTACACTATAATCTAGCTTACTGAAAGGCAAGCCACAGAAAGAGGCTCTTCTCTTTATTTTTTATTTAATTACTCCAACATTCTGATTTGCACAATTAAAAGTGTTTGCAATATTTAAATACTGTCCAAACTTACTTTTTATTGATATAGTTGAACTTTACAACAGTGTCATAAAATATTATAAACAATGTTTAGAGAAAAAAAGCAAATTTAAATATATTAACTAGATTAAAGCATGCAAAAGATTAAATGAAAACACATCAAATAATAATATGATAATGATACCAATTTACCCACTTTATATTCTGCCATAAAAATATCAGTAAACATCAATTTGAAATTTGGTGAATGGGCTTGATTCCCGATTTATGTATAAGATATAATACACACTTTGCATGTATATGGTTAACTTTACTGGTGTGTTACGTACATTAAGAGCAGTTTGGTACTGGTATATATTTACTACCCACAGTGCAGTAAATAATGGTTAGAAATGCATTCTCCTAATTTCCTCTATGTACTTAGAAAGCAGTAATGAATTCACAACATGGGTCACTAAGGGACCAAAATTTCTTACTATTCACATTTACTTTTCCCATGAAAAGCTTCAAATATAATTCTAATAAAAAAATAGAGTTTTCAAGGCAAACTTTTCAGCATAATTTACAGAAGCAGATTTAAATAGAAGACTCAACAAGTAAGCTAATACTTAAAAATACAATTAACTAGGAATTACCTTTTCAACCTTGTTATTAAAATATGGTGGCCTCAGCAAGAGGCTAAAATGCCATTAGGAGCCCCACAAACACAAGGGACAACCCAAATTGATGGAAAATGTCTGTTCTCAAATTTTAACACGTTCAGGTTTAAATTAAAGGGGTTGAGAGTGGCTCATATAAATCCCTTTTTGTTCGCCATTGTAACTTTGAGTGGGTATGAACTACAGAGATTTCAGGAAGTAATTCTGCAGAGCTGGTGTGGCCATTACCAGGATGTCACACTGAATTTTAGGAAAGAAGTTGAATGGTTCCCACAAAGCACTACTGCTCTTTTAACAAGTAGATGAGTCCATTGTGGAGAGAGTCAAGATGCTCCTGTCGTTGGTATTGAAAGGATCCGATGCACTCCATAATCTAAATAACAATAAGAGAAAAGTTTGCTCACCAGGACCTATGTTTTAATGGAGAAAAAAAAAAAATGTATTCTAAAACTTAGAACCAAAATGCAATTTGAATATTAAAATAATCATTAATTTTTAAATGCTAAAAGGAAGTACTTCATACTTGATGAGTTTAACAAACATTTCATTTATTTTATACAAAATTTGAGGAAAATAATGCTCTAATCATTATCTATCTACCTATCTATCTATCTATCTATCTATCTAAAAGCCTAAGCGACCTGACAACAGGCTGGTTGCTATGATGTACACTGACCACCAGGGGGCAGATGCTCAATGCAGGAGCTTCCCCCTGGCGGTCAGTGCGCTCCCACAGTGGGAGCACTGCTCAGCTAAAGGCAGGTGCCAGACACTGGGTTCACAGCTGGCCAGTGCAGCTGTGGCGGCAGGAGCCTCTCCTGCCTCCGTGGCAGAGCTGCTGAGCGGCAGCAGTGGGTGGCAGGCACAGCAGGGCCAGGATGAGTGGGAGAGGCACGCCGCCCAGCCTGGGCTTTTCCCTGCCCACCTGCCCCTTCGTGCACTACATCCCCCAGGGGTCCTAGATTGTGAGAGGGTGCAGGCCAGGCTAAGGGACTCCACTGGTGCACAAATCTGTGCACTGGGCCTCTAGTATAAAAATAGCCAAAATGTAGACATTCATTAGCATTAAAACATTTTCTATAGGTAGCAGAATATAAGACTCTTTTAAAATATTAATTTAAAAAATAAGTATGTTGCCGAAACCGGTTTGGCTCAGTGGATAGAGCATCGGCCTGCGGACTGAAGGGTCCCAGGTTCGATTCCGGTCAAGGGCATGTGCCTTGGTTGCAGGCACATCCCCAGTGGGAGGTGTGCAAGAGGCAGCTGATCAATGTTTCTCTCTCATCGATGTTTCTGACTCTCTGTCCCTCTCTCTTCCTCTCTGTGAAAAAATCAATAAAATATATTAAAAATAAATAAAAAAATAAGTATGTTATTAAGAGTTATGCAGTGAAAAGCAACTTGGCTATATTATGATATCACAGAAGCAAACAAATATCACACCAAAAAATTTGGAACAAAATAGCAGTATGTTCTTAATTTATTTCTTTTCAGCTATAAATTCTATTCTAAAGATTTTAGCATAATTAGTTTGAATGTAGTGAATGATTTATTCAATAGGCATCAAAGACACCTCTAAGTCTAATGAAATTAGGGTTTTCATTTAATTAAGAACAAATGATCTTTTACCGGTCTGGAAAAGTCAACTACTGTCTGAATGATAAGGCCCATAAAGCATCTTCTATATATATATAAAAACCTAATATGCAAAATGTCCTCTCAGTTGTCGACAGACCAAAGTCAATGTGTCGCTATGACATATGCTGACCACCAGGGGGCGGCGCAAAACAAAGGAAAGCCCTGGCTGGCAGTCAAGGAAGGGAGGGCCCTGCCAGCAGCTGGCAGCCAGGAGGGACCCTACCTCTGCATGAATTTTGTGCACTGGGCCTTTAGTTCATTACATAATACTTATGTGCAGCTGTATTAATTTAAGCTTAAGTAACTTAAGATCAAAAATAGCCTGTCATACTTAAAAAAGCCTAACCTACTTTAAAGATTACCAAGTCAAAGCAACTTTTCTTAAAGACTAAAAGAACTTAAAATAAGTACATTTTATGTACTTTCCTTAAACAAAGATGCGAGAGAAGAGATTAACATTTAAAATGGCTCATATTCACTTTCTGCTGTTTGAAGACAGCGGTCTCCAATCAGTGGCCCCGAAAGATTGCTGACCACTATTCTAAGAGACTCTGTATGTTCAAATTTAAATCAATTAAGTGAGCAGTCATAATGACGTTTGGAACCTGGAAATTTTACGAAGTTGGCATAGAGGAAAACAAACAACAAGCATACCAATGGTTTACAGAACTTACTAGTTTCCAGAAAACCTTAAACAGTATCTACCTTAATTTAAGGAAAGGCTTGTTAACTACTCTATTTCTAGCACCCAGAACTGCACCTAGTACGTAGTAGGCACTCAGTATTTGTAAAATACATGAATGAAACGAACTATGAATATTTCTTAGAATAAGTATTCGTGCAGGAAAAAGTGTGCTCAGACATATATGATAAAACATAAGTATCAACACCTCAATCATATATCAATTATTAACTCCTTTCTAATTAGAAAACAGTTTTGATTAGGATGAATTAACTGTTGATAAAACACAAACAGAAAATAATTTATTGCTAAAAAACCCCAGCTCTTTAGGGTATAACATGACATAGCCTTTCATATAGCACCTTGATGCTACCTTTTAAAAAAAACATTTTATTGATTTTTTTACAGAGAAGAAGGGAGAGGGATAGAGAGAAACATCAATGAGAGAGAAACATCAATCAGCTGCCTCCGGCACACCCCCTACTGGGAAAGTGCCCCCAACCAAGATACATGCCTTTGACCAGAATTGAACCTGGGACCCTTGAGTCCACAGGCCAACGCTCTATCCACTGAGCCAAACTGGTCAGGGCTGATGCTACCTTTGAAAACAAGCTTGCAAAATGGCAAATTCCTTTGATAATCAAATATAAGTAGAACTTATATGTCTGGATAGTAAAAGATCAATCAGCAGAGAAATCTGTCCTATAAAAGCACTAGTTATATTTCTGAAGTGATGCCCTTTTATGTTTAATATGTTAATGGAATAGGCCAAGGGCTTCTACATCTGGTAACAAGTATCAGCCTTGCCCTACCACTTAAATTAGACATAAAATAGAAATGTAGAATAAAGGCTGCTTCAAAATCAAAATAGAAATGCCAAAAATATTTCACTAATACAATTACATGTAAAAAACAGGAATAAAACTCTATGTATCAAAATAACTTTCAAAGTTCAAAAATAACCTTAATAGAATTATGACAATTTTCTATAGCCCTTTGATAACACCAATTAGTTTTACATATTATATGATTTTTACCACTAGAAAAAATAAAAGAACAGATCTCAAAAACACTTTTTAGATTATTAATTTAAACAACAAAAAGGAGATAATTAAAGTAGCATCTGATAATTATAACCTTAGATGTTGGACAAAATTAGAAAGATATTTACAGTCTGTGAAATAAGATATTGATTGCTGTTAAAGATTTTAAGAAAATAAAAAAATAAAGTCCTACAAAAAAAAAGAATATGATATAATTCTAAGTGAAAAAGAAGTATGGATGTTACCAGCCAGCTTTAAGAGAACAGGCTGAAATAAATCTCATAATGCCTGGGGCAGGCTCAAGAGAAATAATGCAGTAAAAAATGACTATGTAAAAATAATGGAGGCATATTACCTAAACAATATCAAGAAAGTGGGAGCATATATAACACAGAAAAATATTATTGGCTCACTTAAAATTAATTCTAGTTTCTTTGTAATAGTGAAGATGTATCCTGTCATTAATGAGAACTTCCTGTTGAAGTAGAAAATTTAAAAATTCTGTGACATTAGAGATATATATAGTATTCTTTTATTCTAACTCCCACCTTCATTCTATGCAATAAAGCTGTCTTAGTAAGTTAAATAATATACATTCAGTCCTTTTGGAACTTCCTTTGGGGAACTTTTTGGCCTGGCACATGACAAAGCTGCTATCTTATAATGCATTTTACAATACAATTGTGTAAGTCATAACATGTAAATCCCAATAAATTTAGCTACTCATAGTAATTCTTTTATGTGGAATAAAATTATTACAAAATGATATCACAGCATTATGAGAATATTTTTGATTAAGTTATGATAAATAAGTAGGACTGAAACAACAGACATTACATTAACATAAAAAAGCTATTTACAAATGCAACTGTACCATAAAGACGTGGCTACAATTAAAGGCAAGTGGGAACTATCAAGTTCACCAGGAAAAAGTTACCTGAATTTTATCATACATGATAAATATCATACTTATCATTTTTAAAACATAAAGCTAACCAAATACTAAAAATTCCTTTATCAACAGGTAAGAGTTGTGCCTCCTCCACCCTTCATTCTCTATTCTTGTACTTTCTTTTAAAAAAAAGTGTTTACTGATTTCAGAGAAAGGAAGGGAAAAGGGGAGAGAGACAGGAACATCAATGATGGAGAATCATTGATCATTGCCCCCTGTGAAACCCAGGCATGTGTCCTAAGTGAGAATGGAACCAGTGACCTTCTGATTCATGGGTTGACGCTCAACCACTGAACCACACCAGCCGGCTTTTATTTCTTCTTGCTATACTTTCCAACCTTTTCCAAGCCATGGCACATATAGAAAGTGATACTATTCACACGGTTCACTACGGACAATGGAAATCACCATCTATCCATGCTCATCTGTAACCCTTCATGCACAGCAGTGCATTGCTGCTTTGATTTTAAGAATATATCATCGACCTAAAGAACACCAAAGTGTGAAAACTTATTACTACTCCTTAATATCCCCTAAATAATATCTCCTAAATAATAAATCCCTTGGGAAAATATATGAAGAAATGAATACATTTCACTTTTAAATTTATCAAAAAACTGCATTGTTTGTTGTGACCCAAAAAAGCCATCACTGATAAATCTTTTAAGAAACAGATTTGGGCCTGGCCAGCATTGCTCAGTGATTGAGCATCAACCCATGAATCAGGTGGTCACGGTTTGATTCCTGTCGGGGCACATGCCTGGGTTGTGGGATTAATCCTCACTGGGGGGCATGCAGGAGGCAGTCAATCAATGATTCTTTCTCATTATTGATGTTTCTCTCTCTCTCCCCCTCTTTCTTCCTCTCTGAAATCAATAAAAATATATATTATATATATATATTTAAAAAACAGATTTTGGAAGAGACAAAAATGCAAAGATTCTAATAAACCATAATTTAAAGAGCCTATTCTAGCTTAACAACTTTTAATTAGACCATAAATACAAAGTAAAAATTTAAAAATCACAACTGATTATAAACCTTATTACAGAGATAAAAAGGAGTAGGAAAACAGCAATATAGTCTTATGTGTTTATAAATACCTCAAAGTCTCAAATGACTGACTATAAAATATAGACCAAGAATAAGAAAAGCAAAATCTTTTGATTTTACTATTATAGGTAGATTATTTTGTACTGGTAAATACAAAACCCAACCAAACAAAAATATAAATGAAATAGAACAGCAGCATAGTAAAAAGTTATAAAAACCAAATATGAATACTACACACGCACTCCTATTTACATTTTAGAAAGATTATGAAGCAAAATTTTTTGTTCATTAGATGAGAAGTCTCTTCAAAGGTGCTTTTTCTTCCTTTGTTAGTGAAAGAACCCCTTACCCAAAGCCATGTAGTGAAATCTACCATCAGAGAGTGCTAATAAATAGCACACTTCCTTCTTCAGTTGGTAAAACCAGCTGTTGATTTATTAGGTATCTAGGGATGCATGTTCATCTGTTCCACTTTACAGGCCACTCATCTGCTGCAAAATTAGAGAAATTTCACACCTGCTGACATGGGCCGGACTGCATCTTCCTATGACTCGTTCCAGCATTCTTCCAACAGACGCGCACGCTGTCTCGCCTTCTGAGAAACAGCACATGGAGTCCAAGCACTTGATACTTGAATTTGTTTCAGTAAGCTGGAGAAGTTGCAGCAGAAAAAAATTAGTTATTTTTTCAAAAAGCATTAAAAATTACAAGCACTTTAAAACTACAAGTAATGTACATAAACATGTTTTCTGCAATATGAAAATGTATGGTATGAATGGCTTAATTTAAGAATAATCATACAAAAGTATTTAAATTTAAGGTTAAGTAAAATAATTATACAAAAACAATGAACATTATTTAAATATGCAAAGATTTTGGATTTTAATGTCAATATTTTATTATGGTCAAAATTACATCAACTATTCAGAAGCATAATGAATTGGAATTCTTGAGGTTTTTGTTTAGGTGAAATGCTCCTGTAATTTCAACTAAAATGTCTAGCAATCAAAAAAAAAAAAAAAAAAAAAATGGCGTGTGAACTATTTTGAAGCCTGGGAGATAAAAACCAGACAGGATCTAATCCCTACCTTCAACAACTATCATAATTATAACAAAAATAGTAGCAAATACTTTATGCAGTGTACTATATGCCACGTTCTAAGCACTTACATATATTCACTTTATAATTATCCTTGAAAAAAGTACATGATTTACCTTAAGTTGCTAAGCAACTCTTAAGTGCCAATCATACCCTTAATCAGCTCATCTTATTTTTTTTTTAATTAACTGATGATACATGTAATAAAATCAATTAAACAAGTGACTAAATAGTACTACTGAAATGTAAAAATAAATTAATTCTTGAAAGTATGCATGATTTATATTGATTCAGGCATAAATAAACTCAGCAAGATAACTTCAAGCCATACTACTAATAATTTCAATCCTGTTAAATGAGGACAAGATGGTATGACACATAGTTAATGAATCCCAAACCTGGTTTTGAGAGTCAAGAGTACTGCTAAATTTCTCAAGGTTTGTCATTTTAAGTAAACTTATTTTCATTTACTTTCCTTTACATATGTAACATATTGCATAACAAATCTTTCAAAAGTATAGAACAACAACAACAAGAACAATAGACTCATTTGAGGATTGCAATTCTAAAAGGTTGGGAATCACCAAGTGTTGAGAGCAGGCATGACAATGGGGGACATGTGTGGAGACACTCACAATGGATAGAAGAGATGGAAAGGGTGGAATATAAATAACTGCCATTGAGAATGAACCTAAGCTACTGGTGAAGTCCTGCAAAATCCCTGCACAGAGTAATTCTCCCTAATACCAAGCAGTGCAAGTCAACAGCTCCTGATTGGGAATTGCCTGACTGCACCAATCAATGTCCTAGGATCTGGTAAGCACTGAGAAAAAACCATTACTTAAATGACACAAACACTTAAAATTCAATTTATATTTATTAAGCAAGGAACTGTGCTTAATAAAGGATAATAGAGAAGTCAGGAACAAATAATGCAATGCTTATTATGTGTGTGCCACCTCCTATGTAAGATGCTTCTCATAGATTATCTAAGAATTATAACCACCTTTTGGGATAGATACCATATTCATAAGCATTTTATAGATGAGGAGACAGAGAGGTTAAGAACTGTTCATGGTCACCTAGCTAGGGCTTAAGTCTTGGTTTCTTTGATTCCAGAGCCCAAACTTCTTTACTATGACATTATACTGCCTTCTTATAATTATGGCATGAGGCAGACCAAAAATATCAAGAGAGAAGGGAAAGCTCACACCCAGTTGTTATTGGTAATGGTGGGAGGGCATGGAAGATATTGTGAAAAGATGGCATCTGAAATACACCTTGATGGCCATATGGGATTTCAATAGCTGGAGATGGCAGAGAGAGAGCACTCCAGGCTAAGTGAAGACAATGAGTAATAATTGTGTGGGCAGAAAAATATGATGTGTATTCAGTACGGTTAGCCTCAGCATAGAGAGTAGTTGATACTTCTGCCCCCTTGCAAAAAGACCAGTACAACTCAGTGCATGATCCACAAATCAGTATTATCCAAAAATAATTGCTGACTCATGAGAATATAGGTGTTTCTGGACTCTGAGAATAAAAGATTAGAAAATTTTAAGGTACTTTGATGTAATACTTTTATAACTGTTGAATCTAAAAATAATTTTATAAAGTTGGGGCGTATTTTATATAACTGTTAAATTTCATTTTCTAGTAATTAATTTTTATTATATTAAAAAAGAATTGGTCTGTGATGGAAATTAAAAACAACAAAACAAGCAAACAACTAACTTGTCATGCACCACATTTACCTGGAAAGCACTGAACTAGACCAGAAACTAGAGAGAGAAGTTTAACTGTGCTTCGCCTATAGAGCTAGTGCTCAATCAACTGATGGGAATTCACTGAAGATGACATCTGTGAAGTCAGCAGCTAGATGGACAGAACACTAATCAGGTAATGATCTTGCTTTGCATTCATCACCTTTCACTTTAAAATCTAAGGGCAGGTATTAATATATGAGCAACCCAACAGAGTAAACATCTTGAAATATAAAAAATAATATAGCCGAAACTGGTTTGGCTCAGTGGATAGAGCGTCGGCCTGCGGACTGAAAGGTCCCAGGTTCGATTTCGGTCAAGGGCATGTACCTTGCTTGCGGGCACATCCCCAGTGGGGGGAGTGCAGGAGGCAGCTGGTCGATGATGCTCTCTCATCGATGTTTCTAAATCTCTATCCCTCTCTCTTCCTCTCTGTAAAAAATCAATAAAGTATATTATTAAAAATAATAATATAAAGAAACTAGGAACCCAGCGCCCTATTTGAAATCATGCGGCACCGCCCGCCATTGAGTCACTGGTCTGGCCCTGCCTCCCTCTCCGGCCCTTGAAGCAGCAGTGGCTGCTGTTGATCAGGCCTCCCCCAGCGCGGGTGCTCAGAGGCCCCTGCTGCTCGGCCCCTGCTGCTAAACGAGCAACTTCCTCCTGTCCAGTAGACCCGTTATGACATCTGACTAGCATATTTCGTTAATTATATGCTTTCTTGGATCACCTTTTGAACTAAGACAAATGTTTCTTTTGTTTTCCTAAAAAGAAAAAAACCCCACCTGCTTTGAAAATGCTGAGTGCTAGTTAACTATGTTTTTGTATACTATCTAATAAAAGAGTAATATGGAAATTGATAATCGTTCCAACACATAAGATGGTTGGCAGGGGAGGACAGTTGGGGGGGACCCAGGCCTGCAGGGGAAGGCAGTTGGGGATGACCAGGCCTTCAGGGGAGGGCAGTTAGGTGTCAAGCAAGCTGGCAGGGGAGTAGATAAGGGATGATCAGACTGGCAGGCAGAAGTGGTTAGGGGCAATCAGGCAGGCAAACAGTTGAGAGCCAGCAGTCTTAGATTGTGAGAGGGATGTCTGATTGCCCATTTAGCCCCGATCCTAAATGGACAGTCAGACATCCCTCGAAGGGTCCCAGATTGAAGATGGTGCAGGGTGGGCTGAGGGACACACACACACACACACACAAACACACACTCCCCGTGCATGAATTTTGGGCACCGGGCCTCTAGTAGATCTATAAAATAACACTACATTGTTGTCCAGTAAACTTTCAAGCTCTATCACTTTCCCATACAGATCTTTGATCTCATATTTAGGAACTGGGAGCCCAGCCACAGTACATTTTGCCACAGTTGCCAGTATGACTGGGGTGGAAATGGGGTGTAGCATTTAGAGAGGAAATCAATTTTTTTTTTACTAATTGTAAATACTAAAAAAGAAAAGTATAGTAATGGAAGTGAGACCTTAACTCGTGGCACAGAGAAGAAACTTTTAATTTATGAGAGATTCTGATTAATTTGTACGACACATGCCATCACTTTCTTCCCAGGAGGAACCACCACGTCATTTAGAGCTCCGAAGGCTCCCAGGCAAAACAACTACAGAGATTCAACATGACTATGTATGGCTAATAACAATTTTCATGTTTATAGAACTTGCCTTTCAAAATAAATTTTGGTTCATGGCTCTATTTCCATTATTTTTTTTTATCAGTGATGGTAAACACTTAGAAGTTTCTCCTATTAGAAGCTTCCACAAAATATCTTCCCTAAATCTCTTAAATGTTAAAAAATTTTCATGCATTTCTAAATCTTTTAATCACTTTATTACATATTAGCTATCAAATCAAGTAATGTTTTTAGTTTAGATAATAATTACCAAGCTATTAACCATATTTGTTCATTCTTAAAATTGTTTTATATACTTGATATTCAAAATGAGTGCCCTTCATAGCCTTAAAGGAGATATTTGGAAAGGAGCCTTATACTATAATTATGAAAGGAGAAAAAGTTTGTGTTTAAGAAAATGTTTTTCCTTTAAAGGTAAAATCAAAAGTCATAAAGTATTACTGATTCCAAATTTGGTTAGGAATAATAACATCCCTAAAACAAGTAATAACTTCATCTCATTATTAAGAACTAGAAGCCTGGTGCATGAAAATTCATGCAGTGGAGGGGGCATCCCTCAACCCGGCCTGCCCCCTCTCACAGTCCAGGAGCCCTCAGGGGCGGGAGGCGACCTGGCCATCAGGGCAAGGCAACACCCCATGACACCTGTGCTGCTACCACTGCCGGCAGCTAAAGCCTTGGCCGGCCCTGGTTACCTGAGCCTCAGGTGGCTTGCCTACACATTGGGCAGGCCCTGGGTGACTGGGGGGCTGAGGAGACTGGGGGACTCCAGAGACAGGTGCATAGGGTGGGCCTGGCCATGCCGCATGCCTGCAGCCCGGGCAGGGTTGAGGGGACTGGGTGCTGCCATCTTTGAGGATGTGACAGTCAATTAGCATATTCCTTCTTTATTGGCTGTGGGCGCTGCCATCTTTGTGAGGGTGTGATGGTCAATTAGCATATTCCCTCTTTATTAGATAGGATTGCAACAAGCAGCCATTTGATGAAGGCAGTTAGATAACTGCTCTGTCTTACTCAAGGCCTATTTCTCCAAAATATGCCTCAAGCTTACAGTCACTGCTCTAAACTTCCTTCTTTCCAAGTAAAATGAACAACTTGGAAAGATAGTTATAAATATAGGTAGACTACCTCCACACTGTCTTTGAGGGATCTCCTAAGAGGAGGAGATTTCTATATGTGTTGCCTAAATCTAACTATGAAAATATGCATATAATAATTATATTTTAAGGTACACTTATTTGAATAATTTTGCTTATTCGATGGACTCTTTTATTTTAATAATGTGGTTACATAAATAACTATATATAACACAGAATTTGTAGTTTAGGTGAAGAAAAGTATCAGTATCTATGAAAAATGGTAGGATCCCCACTTTTAATGGAAGTGTAAAGCAGAAAAGCATTAATTAATGCACCAAGTCATGGCACAGCTGATAATAAGAATTCAGTTTTTTAAGTATCATTCATTTTACAGCATGTCATAGGAAAAGTGAATGGCAGAAATACCGTCAATATTAATTATTTTCCTTCATTTTAGCCTCAAGATGAAAAAGCTGTTCAGTAAGTCAATACACATTTAAAAATAATACTAGCTGAAACCGGTTTGGCTCATTGGATAGAGCGTTGGCTTGGGGACTGAGGGGTCCTGGGTTCAATTCCGGTCAAGGGCATGTACTTTGGCTGCAGGCATATCCCCAGTAGGGGATATGCAAGAGGCAGCTGATCGATGACTCTCCCTCATCGATGTTTCTAACTCTCTATCTCTCTCCCTTCCTCTCTGTACAAAATCAATAAAAATATATTTAAATAAATAAATAAATAAATAAATAAAAATAACATTAGTTTTATAAAGTGTCAGTCATATTTACCAGGCATACATCTAGTTCCTGCCACAGGAGGGGCCTTATTAATATTAATTAGCCTTTTAGTCATTAAGGTTTTCTGTCACTGCTTTGTTAAAGGAGGCAGTATCTGTACCTTTGTCACAAGAGAGAAAAGGGACTTGTAGTTAGTTGAAACTGCTTAAAATGTGTGCTCTTTTTGGTGGTAGCAGGTTTCAGGTCTGAGGCGTAAGCACCTGGTTCCAGAATGAGAAAGGTCAGTAGCCATAGCATCCTAATGCTATCCCTGTGATTGTTAGATACAGCCTGCAAGAGGGCATTCAGAGCAGTAAAGCAAAGACAAAAAAATGACCAAGCAATAGAGGCCTCTGAGGCAGGTGACAGTAGAGGGAGATATAACTAGAAGACCCTGGCCCACTGCAACATTCAGGGTGCGGCGTAGCCTTCTATCTGATTTTGCAAGGCCAACCAAATTTTGAGTGCAGGAAAAAGAAGAAAAAAGAATATTATATAACACTTATTTTTAAAAGTGGTTTTTATCTTTAAAAAAAATATATGCCAAAGGCAAAATACATGAGAAGAAAAATATTCAGGTTATATTTCATTCAATCAATTAAAATTCAGTGATAACTAGAGAAAAACTGCAGATCAGGGTTATACCTCCAGCAATTTTACTAAGGTCACATTCACAGTTTGAGGATTTTTCTGGCTTCTTGTTTATAGGAAATAGGAAGGGAGACCAAATGTCAAGGGAATGATGAGAAAATTCACTTTGTAAAAGTAACATAGTTAAAAAAAAAAAAGGTAACCAGGCCCCTGTTATTTAATAGCAACATTCTAAGAACCCAATTCTCACTGTATTGTACATTTTAATGGGCATATAAAAGTTTAGGTGCACCAAACCCATGTCTTTTAAAATAGCCAAATTTGCATTAGAAACAAAATAAAAAATCAGAATTATTTTAAATTTCTTTTCAATTAATAATAATAACCAAGAGTTGATTAATTATCTTCAACAATTTCTGAAATTCAATAAAGGAATCTAATTTTAAAAGTATGTCTTCCAAAATAATTTAGATTTTTCATATTATTATACCTGTAACATGGTTTGATTTACAATCTACAAATAGTGTATTTTTTAAAAAAAGTTTTACTACTTATTAGGATTTACCTCAGGTAAGACAATAATACCTTCTTGACCAGTAATTACAGAAGGCCTCATTTAAGAATTATTAATAGGCCGAAACCGGTTTGGCTCAATGGATAGAGCATCGGCTTGCGGACTGAAAGGTCCCAGGTTTGATTCTGGTCAAGGGCATGTACCATGGTTGCGGACAGATCCCCAGTAGGGGGTGTGCAAGAGACAGCTAATCGATGATTCTCTCTCATCGATGTTTCTAACTCTCTATCCCGTTCTCCTCCTCTCTGTAAAAAATCAATAAAATATATTTTAAAAAAAAGAATTATTAATAGGGTTGTGGTACTTTAAGTGAAATGACATATGATGAAACCAATTTCATCATAGGCTAATTGATATAAACAAGAGTTAAGTTCCTACAGCATCTCATTAATGTTACAATGAAAAGCCATTAAATGAAATGATATTATTCAAAGAAATAATTACCGTATTTTTCAGACCATAAGACGCAACGGACCATAAGACGCACCAGTTTTTAGAGAAGGGAAATGAAGAAAAAAAGATTCTGAAACAAATAGTGTCCTAAAATATTTTATGTGCATTAAAACCCAACATCACAGTCATAAACACATGGAATCAACCCTGTAAAGTAAACAGCAGCATTTAGAACCATTTTAGAGCCGGGCAAGCACACAGAGACCACACAGAGCCGGGCAAGTAAAAAAACTTTTTTTTTACAGTATATGTGTAGGCTATATTTGGACCATAAGATGCAGGGACTTTTTCCCCCCACTTCTGGGGGGAAAAAAGTGCGTCTTATGGTCCGAAAAATACGGTATTCAATTATTTAAGCAGTTTCAACTAACTACAAGTCCCTTTTCTCTCTTGTGACAAAGGTACAGATACTGCCTCCTTTAACAAAGCAGTGACAGAAAACCTTAATGACTATTTTGTATATTTGTACAATATACAAAATGGTAAGTCATAGATCAAATAAAAATACATCAGTGGTAAGAATTATCCTCCATAATTACTACAACTCAGAATATTTTGCACATCCCAATAAGGTTGTCAGGGTTTTATTCCTCAAGAGGATTTATTAATCAAGCCCTCATAAATTCATACTTCTTTATTACAAGGAAATAACTATTAAAGCTTATGAAAAGAACTGAGAGTTTGGTGAATATCAGTCAATAGAAAACTATTTAGCACCAATCCTAAAACTCATTCATTTCATCATTCAAGAGAGAGACTTAGATAAGCAACTCAGAGTCTAACTACATTAAGATGTATAAAATGATACACAACTACAACTTCAAGTGGGAAAGTGATTTCAGAAATAATGGAAATAGCATGGCATATTTTCAAAAGAAGTGACAAGGAATAACTTCTTGAATATAAGACAATAGGTTGTGAAAATACCTCACTAGGTTAGAATTTGAGATGAAGTATGTATGATTCAACAGTGTAACTCTAAAGGAAGATTAATAAAGTATACAGAATGGACGTATAAAAAAAGTGAGGATCAGAAAAAAGGAAACAAGTAAACAAAAACAACAATGTGAGAAACAATGAGTGGTCAGTAAAGTAAAAACTAAAACATCAGGCCAGTTCTCCCACAGCATGCCCCAAATGTGAAAACTTAGCAGATACGTCCCCCGGAAGATCCAGCGCGGTACTACCTAGTGCACGTAAGACTGTCCTGCTGGCTGCAAGCCTCAGCTAGCAGGTGCCTACTGTCCTCCCCTCTGTGCTTGCTTTCAGCAAATTCATATGCTGAGCTGACTGAACCCTTATCTTCTTCCATCTAGAAGGATAGAAAAGCAACAAGTCTCATATTACAGACAATACTCTCACTGCATACAGGTTCAGAATCAAAACAGTAAGTTGGGGTCCACAATCTGTGAGGCACAAATGAATGTTCACACACCATTACATTCATTCACTATCACAAAAGAGAGCTAGCAGCAGTGCTTACAGGGCGTACAACAAAGCACACAAAGTAAAGCCATGATTTTCCAGTGCACAAAGGACAAATTAAAACCAGGTTTCCTTCAATAAAATGAAATTTCTCCTATTAAGCAAATTCCCTATCATCAAGATTTAGGGTTCTCATTGCAAAGATAAGTCTCATTTTGCACCTCCAAACTAATTGGAAACTTTCTACAATTATGAGTCCTCACTGAATAAAACACAGAATTTTCCTCATTTCTATGTATTTTCTGTCTTAGAACTATTAGTTATTTCAGTGAAAAGTACATACGTAAAAAATAAAGTACAGTAGGTCCTCGGGTTACATCGGAGATCCGTTCCTATGGCACTACATAAGCAATGTTCGCTGTAAGTCGGAGCCCACCTACGTAAGCACCTACGTCACTCACATGGAGCACACACTCAGCAGTAATGAAGTGAAACAGTTAAAAAAAAAAAATTAAAGATAACAATTCCTGACCTTTGCTTGTGGTAAATAAGTAATAAAAAAACATAAAGCACATAAGTATGTATATATGGTTGAAATGATGAATCTTTTTAAAAAAATAAATAAAAGGGAGAGGGCAACGTAACCATGAAATGACTACATCAAGTCCGACGTAACCCGAGGACTGCCTGTAGTAGAATTTTTTGGTTTCAAGGGTACAATAAGTTTATGTAAAGATAGCTAGCTTTTCACAATAGCTTTGCCTATAATACAGGGGAGGAGAAAATACTCACAATGAGTGTTCTTTTATTCAAAAGAAAATTCCTAATAGTTTTGTATTAATGGTTCTTAGGGTACTAGCCTGATTTAATATTTGAAGTCTGTTAAAAGTAATAGATATCTGTATAATTTTCCTCTCTGTAAACAATCAAGCTACCATGGATCACACCCAGGAATATAGCTCAATGCAGCTCAAAACCAAGATGTATTCAAAAGTCATAGGAGACCTCAGGAGGTGTATGTGGGCACATGTTCTTCATGCAGCTCACTGCTCATTTAAGCAATTGTCATTTCCCCCTGGCCTTTGGTTGAGGCACAGCATTTCTTCTTTTTTCCTTTGATACTGATCGTAAGGAAATAAATCACAGTATGTGAAATGACAATCTGATGGGTAAGAAACCTGGAAGCTCAGAGAGGTGAACTTTGGTTAGGCCATGTAGGAAGCAGTGCTAAGGACAGCATTTGACAGTCCATTATCTCCCCTTTCTTCGTCCACCTGATTGGAGAGTGGCTTGCAGCAAAGACTACCTGACCAACATAGCCTGCTATCACTGTGATCTTGCGGAGATGAATGTCAAACTTACTGTTTTGTTACATGATTATGGAGCCTGAAATCTCTAGTTTATGATCTTTTTACCGCATTCTTTTTTTGTGGCTTCATTTAAGTCAACACAATATGTAAAATATGATTTCATAAAAATATTATTATTCTCAATGCAAAAGTTACCTTTACTTGACAAAATGATGTTCTTTAAATAATGAACTTTCCTATTGTCTTAGAGTTAACTGGCTATTCAAATATATAATGAATACCCAGTGTTTTCAGAGAAGCACAGACAGATAAAAGGTGATAAACATATTTGGCTCAACCAAAGGTGAAGACAAATCTTCAAGATTGTTTTAGTTTTTGTTTTAAACATAAAATTTAGATGACTAACACTTAAACTCATCTGTATATTCATCTATAATTCTTATAACTGTAATTCAAAGTAGAATATTTCAAAAATCTTGAAGATAATAATAAATTCAAAAGATTTGGTAAAACTTTAGAACAGTTCAAAATTGTAAACTCACAGAGTTCCATAAGAGGTTAAGTGGTGTTTTGTCCAAAATATTGATTTGATCAAGTGAATGTAGAGATTAGAAACCTTGAGAATAAAAAAGACTTAAAAACTATAGGGTATCGCCGAGACCGGTTTGGCTCAATGGATAGAGCGTCAGCTTGGGGACTGAAGGGTCCCAGGTTCGATTCCAGTCAAGGGCATGTACCTTGGTTGCGGGCATATCCCCAGTAGGGGGTGTGCAAGAGGCAGCTGATCGATGACTCTCTCTCATCGATGTTTCTAACTCTCTCTCTCTCTCCCTTCCTCTCTGTACAAAATCAATAAAATATATTTAAAAAAAACAAAAAAAAACTATAGGGTATTAAAAAATGTATACATACTTTAACAGCTGAAAGCTCAATTTTGAAAATGAAATGTATTTTAATAAACACTGCCTTTATAATTATTCAAAGTGTATGCATACATTTTTTTGGGCATCTGATATATATAAAACATATGATTAAGAATCCACAAAATACTGATAGAATGAGAAACTGAAGAGTGCCAAAATTCAACAAATATTTTAGTTATATTACTTTTTCCTCTTCAAACCAGACTGGAATTAAAGTTAACACTATTTGATTTTGGTATCTTAATACTAACAGATCTAGGATGAAAGCTTTCATTTTCTTCCATCAAAAGAATTCTCTAGATTACTGGGAGTGTGGTTTTTTTGTGTGATAACTGACAGAATGGGACTGTCTGTAGAGATAAAGGTATATATAAGGTATATATAAGAGATATAAAGTATACGTTCAATTTACAGATGCACTAAACAGAAGCAAGGATATGAAATGCTTCAGCAGCCATTACAATGTACAGACAAATATGCACATGAGTTCAGCAGCCATTACAATGTACAAAGACAAATATGCACAGATTGAGGCAAGATAAAAAATGAGCAACTCTCACTTTCAAGTAACAGAAATTTAAAACTTTACATTTTGGTGAATTTTGTTAGCTTAAATTTCTCAACATGCAGGAACATTCTTAAATATGAATATGACAAGCAGAAGCATTAAAATTGTGCTACAAAAAACAGTGTAAAATATATAACAAGGTACAGATCTCTGTCCTGTTCTGCTGAATTTTCTTCTCAATGAAGAAATGGATTTTTTTTTTATTTATGTTTTAACATACATAGTAATAAAGGTCAAATTAGAGACAGCTGTGCTAACAAAAAATGGCCCACTCTGAATTCATGCCTCTGCCCATCTTTTAAATAGTGTTTAATTGACCTTTAGCATGCAGAAGTTAATAAGGGTCTACTCCTACTCTACCTAAATTTGCTCAGCTGATTCCTTGCCCTTGACAATGGCTGCAGTGCGATGAACTCGTCACTTAAAGCAACTGTGTTGGAGTACATCTATAAGTGGACAGAAAAGGGATGGGACATACAAAGAGTCAGTGAGCTGTATTCATCACCTAAGAGAATGACACAGGACAAGCTATATAAAGACACATCTGTCCCTATAAAAGCAGGAATATCATACATCATATATATATTTACACATGACTGACATTTGTAGGACTACTCGCTTTCTTCATGCTTAACACCACATTGTTATTCTGGAGTAAAACAAAGTGCAAAATAAATGCTGACAACTTTTCTTTTGATATGATTTTTCTGCTAAGCAATAAAATGGCTGACAACTTTTCTAATTATTCTTCATCATATGAACTGAAAGGTGAAAGTATAAGGCTGAAATAATAAAGATTACTGCTTACAGCAAAGGAATAATGTTACACATGGGATCTGAATGACCATATACTGCTGAAGGAAAAAAACAAAACACAGAAGATTCCTGAGTGGAAGCAGAGATTTCCTTTTTGGATTAGAAAACATAGAACACCTGTCAAGTCATTTTAAAGTAAATTTAGAAGGACAAAAAGAGAAATTATGGCAGCTTTCACACACAGATAGAATGAGTGATTTATTACACATTCCATTTTTAATCAATTTTAACCTATGGTTAAAGAACCACAATATTGCCCTAGCCAGTATGTAACCCTTTTGAAAGAGGCTATCATATCAAAAAGGTAACAAGAACTAATATTATCACCTTTATTAAGAAGTCTATGAAAATACATCATAATTTGCAAATGCACTGCCTATTATAAATTTTAAAGGTAAATGTAAATAAATCTAATTATTTACTTTTATAAAGAACAAAGTTTTGCTTGACCAGTATGGCTCAGTTGGTTGAGTGTTGACCCATGAACCAAGAGATCACCGGTTCGATTCCCACTCAGGGCAACTCTGGGTTGCAGGCTCAATTGTGCAAGAGGCAGTAGATCAATGATTCTCTCTCATCAATGATGTTTCTCTCTCTCCCTCCCTCTCCTTTCCTTTCTCTGAAATCAAGAAAAAAACATTAAAAAAAATAAGAATAGTTTTTAAAGTGATGTCATTAATATATTTTGGTGAAATCAACTTTTTATAGACCCAGGGGGAGACAAATGTGTAATCTTCATAAAGGTCTAGAAAAAGTATAATAGGCAATTATTAAAAACTAGAGGCCCAATGCATGAAATTCGTGTAAGGGGCTCGGCCCTGGCTGTTGCAGCGGCTTCATCCTTCCAGACGTCAGGTCTACTGTAATTAGCATATTGTGATTTTATTATTATATATATATTTTTTCTGTTACTGTAAATATTTCTCTCTTAAGATTAAAAAAGATTGATTAACTTTTCTGATATACTAGTATATTTAAGTAATAGACTGCAGAGTAGAAGTTTTTCCATACTGATATAAATATATGCACAGGTAGAGTAATCAGATTATGCCAATTATTTAGCCTTATTTGGAGATCAATTTTCACAGAGTAACATCCTCATCATTCTTGTAATTATGATTTTTTAAAAACTGATTTCAGAGAGATAGAGGAAAGGGAGAGAAAGAGAGGGAGGGAAGAAAGTAGGGAGAGAGGAGAGTGAGATATATTTATTAATTTGTTGTCCCATTTATTTACGTATTCGTTGGTGGTTTCTTATATGTGCCCTGACTGGGAATCGAAGGCTAATTATGTTTTTACTGAAGATTTACTACATACAGCCCAGTGTTAGGTGTTTTATATTCATCATCTCTAAGTATCATGTATGACAGTAGTTAACATTCTGATTTTACAGAGGACGAAACTGAGGTTTAGGAAAAAGACTTGATTAAAGGCACACATTTTATAAATGGTTAAAACAGCCTCTGAATTAAGTTTGCCATGCTTTGGAGGCCTATGCTGCTTCACTGGTGTTAAAATGTATATTGGTTAGGACTGTTACCAAAATAAATAAAGGTTAAAAAAAATGTTGACATGATCACTGAAATTAAAACCAATGCTGCCCTGGCCAGTATGCTCAGTGGTTAGAGCACTGGCCTGCACACCAAAGGGTCATGGATTTGATTCCCGGTCAATAGCATGTACTTCTGTTGTAGGTTAGATCCCAGGCCCTGGTTGGAGCATATGTGGGAGGCAACCAATTGATGTGTCTCTCACACATAGATGTTTCTTCTCTCTTTCCCCTCCCTCCCACTCTCTCTAAAAAATCAATGGGAAAAATATCCCCAGGTGAGCATTCACAAAAAAGCACCACAAAACAAAACAAACAAAAAGCCCAATGCACCACGCAGGAACCCTAACTCAATCCTTACTTAGGGAAACACATCCTATTTGTAGAATATGTAACTAAATTTCCAAATTTAGATGAAAAGAATCTGTGTTTATTGAGGCATAAATGTTAATTAGAATGTATTCTTGAGCCTATGGATCCAATGCTATGGTAGAGTAATAAGACAAATTAATCAGACTTCTGATTCATGTACAAGTCAAATATATAAACAAAGCACAGTCAACTAAGTAGTTATTATTTCTTAAGCATCTACTATGTGTCAAGAGTCATACAATTAACAGAAATAACTTTAGAGAGATCAGACTTAATATTTACACTGTAAAATGCTTAATACAGAAATGAATAATTTCTTATTTTCTGAATATAAGCAAATTATAATGATAGCTATTTACTGTTAAAAATCCCTAAATAAAGGTTTTGAATATACAAATGGTTACCTGTGCCTTTTCAGTATTTGTAGGATGGAAATGTCTGTCAAATACCTTCTTCACAATATCAAGAAACAGACATATTACCACCATGAGGATTATGGCAAACCAAACAGAACCACTTGATAGGAGCTGGAAAAATACAAAGTACATATCCTGGGAGCCCAAAAATGGCCTGCAAAGAAAGGAATTGGGATTAATAAAAGTAGAAACTGATAAGGGTTTCTTTTTTTTTTAGTATATTTTATTGATTTTTTACAGAGAGGAAGGGAAAGAGATAGAGAGCCAGAAACGTCGATGAGAGAGAAACATCAACCAGCAGCCTCCTGCACATCCCCCACCGGGGATGTGCCCGCAAGCAACGTACATGCCCCTGACCGGAATCAAACCCGGGACCTCTCAGTCAGCAGACCGACGCTCTACCACTGAGCCAAACCGATTTTGGCTGATAAGGGTTTCTTAAATCAAGTCATGTGGCTTTACATGTGAGTTCACATGTAAAGATTTACAATTTAATTTGGAATACAAGTTTGGAATAATGTTCAAAATTTAGAACCAGTAATTAATTGAATAACTAATAAGACAGACTTTAATTATTAAAAATAAAATTCTATTTAATTACTTTCAATGACAACTATAGTTTTTATTAGAAAAGTGGCAAGTAGTTGACTAGATAACTCTTATCTTAGTAGGTTATCAAAAGAATTACCGTATTTTTCGGACCATAAGACGCACTTTTTTCCCCCCAGAAGTGGGGGGAAAAAGTCCCTGCGTCTTATGGTCCAAATATAGCCTACACATATACTTTAAAAAAAAAGTTTTTTTACTTGCCCGGCTCTGTGTGGTCTCTGTGTGCTTGCCCGGCTCTAAAATGGTTCTAAATGCTGCTATTTACTTTACAGAGTTGATTACATATGTTTATGACTGTGATGTTGGGTTTTAATGCACATAAAATATTTTAGGACACTATTTGTTTCAGAATCTTTTTTTCTTCATTTCCCTTCTCTAAAAACTGGTGCGTCTTATGGTCCGGAGCATCTTATGGTCCGAAAAATACGGTACTTAGTAATACAGACTTAAGAGACCAATAAACAAGAAAAGTATGTAATAAAATATTCTTTCGAGCAATTAAAAGATTGATTATCCAAATCTTAGGTTGAAAAGTTCTACTTAGACGTTATTCTCTACAAATATATTTTAAAAGGGGGAAACAGAGAAAGAAATGAAAAAAATAAAGAACATTAAAAACAAACATTATAAACAAGTGTTATTCAAAAGAGTATCCTTCTAGGATCCTAAGTGGAAGATAATTATTTAGCTAATCTAAGTTTTTTTGCTCATCTTCTATAATTTTTTGCCCAATACAGGGGTCAAAGGCACAGCAGATAAATGTATTATAAATTCTCCAAGTGAGAGACTTTAGTTGTTCATCACTTATAAAAGATTCTTAGAAGAAGCATTAATTTTTAATCTATCATAGTAACTGAAAATGAGTGGTAATTTACCAATGAAGATGAAGCATACTATTTAGTTTTCACAGAAAAGTTGTCATTCATGAAAACTTAATGGCTCAATATGACATTTTAATATGTATATTAGTAAATAATATAGAGAAAATATGGCTAGTGTTAAGAACATTAATTGTGGGATAAAATAATTGGGGTTTGAATCCTAGTTTTAATTCTTTTTTAACCTTTGGAATCTTAGGGCTCAGTTTCCATATAGAAAATATGGAGACTATAAGATTATTGTGATGAATCAATGTAATATCTTAGGTAAAACACCTAGAACATACTATTCAATAATTGTTAGTTTCTTTTTACTCTATATCAGTAAGATCAATTGAAAGGTGTAAATTTGTAGGACCGCAAGATTATTTGTTCAAAATAAAATCTATCACAACACAGGGGTAGGGAAAAAATAGTTTACAGTTGTGAGTACACAAAAGTTTATTTATTTTTTATTACTGTTTATTAATTACCAGAGGCCTGATGTACGAAATTGGAGCAAAGGGCTTGGCCCTCACAGCCCCTTAGCCTAGCCAGCCCTTGCAGCCTCAGGCGGCCCTCGCAGCCCTGGCTTCATCCAGCCGGTCATTCTGCTGTTTGGTCAAATTAACATATTAGCTCTTTATTATATAGAATTGTATTATTTTTCATACTAAAACCTGTAAACCTACTTTTGCCCACCTGTATTTATCAGAGTTGAATCAATGTAATTAAAATACAATATAATCACTCACCAGAGAATCCCTCCATAAAACAAAGAAAATACAAAATAGAATATAATAGATCCCCAAGTAACAAAATGGTTGATCCAGGTCCAAAAATGAGTTTCCAAAGCCATCTAAAAGGAAAAAAAAAAAAAAAAAAAAAAATTAAATTAAATCCTTAACATGTCTTTACCTCCAAGATAAAAATCATGAGTTAAATATATTAATTTTAAGTGAGTAAGGTTCCTATGACAAAGTTTCTTAGAAGACAAATATTAATGTAAGGATCCTAGCATTAAACTGAACAATTAAAGTTTATAATATTTTTCTCCTGTGAGGAAAAAGCATTGAAATTTCATGAGTACTTTTTAACTCCATTGCCTGAAAGAACTTGTGCTGTCATGCAATATATACAAAGAAGCAAGATTTCAGAGATGAGTACTGTGGGGTTAACCGCTATTGACCATAATAATCAGCAGATGCTTTTCAAAATAATGAACTTAAGAAAATATTTTTGACAAAAATGAATTATTAAATAGAAATCCATGAAATAATTCATGACTAAAAAAAGAAAAAGGAAAAATATGCATCTATGGCTAAAGAAATTTAACTATGAATTATATATATACCAAGTGTGTTCATCTGTCTAATTTCTGTGCCATACCTTTACTGTGACTGTAATAAGCATTACTGTGAAGACCAAGGTGCCAAATGTCCAGTTTCCAAACATCTAAACAGAAAGAATAAACCATTATTGCACTATGTGTCACCATGATGCTAAGTTAAATGTTAAGCAGGAAATAACTTCATTCTTTACCAAAAACACTTGCATTATTTAAGCCAGTTACATTTGAAATCTGTGACTAGATTAGTAAAGTTAAAGGAGTATAAGAAGAAATATCACAAGAATTACTATGTTTATTATTATCCATTGCATAACATTATAAGAATGAAAACCCAAAATGGATTTGGAATTATGTAGCATAGACTATTTTTATTTAGAAAGATCTAGTGAATGCTTCATTCCTGTCACACAGTAAAAGTGATAACAAAACCCTGTTTGATAACAATTACTTTTTATAACCATTTCCACTGGAAGTTATACCAGATAACTTACCACTGTATTTCTGGACATGGCATAGGCATAGCAGGGGAAAAAAATTACACAAAAAACCAATACCTGAAAGATAATGGCTAATAGAATTATGTACTTCTCAAGGATTCCTTATAAAAATGGTGTTAATGTCGGTCAGAAAGTATTCATTCCCCTGGGCTTTTTTTAATAGCAAAAATTTACATAGTTTATTAAAAATGCAGAATCCCCAAAGAATGTCAGGATTCAAGTTCCACAAATAAGAACATAACTAGAAATCTATGTTAACTTAGTTCATAAAATAGTCATAGTCTTTACTATTGGTTTAAAAATTATTTAAAAGACTGTTTTGTTATCACAGATTTCTAACAATTAGCATTTACTTGACAAATTACTTAACATCTCTGTATCTCTCACTTTTTTCGTTTGTAAAATGGGGGAAAACCTTATAGGTTTTTATAATTAGAGTCTGCAAAAAGGACAGGGTGCCTGATAAACAGCAATCTATAAGTAATAGTCATCAACAATAAAATATTAATATTCTTTTACTTAAGGGTATTAGAGGAGTTTATTGGTTAAAAGAATGAAAAAGCATAATGAATCCCTCCTTTTTCTGTTTTTATCATCTGTGGAAATTACCTAGAAATACTGAAAAACAATGGGTCTCACTCTACTCAGCTCTTGCAGGAGTGCCAGTCTCCTCTGTCAGGGCTATGTGGACAGATGCTAATGCAGCCAGAGCGCCTGTGCCTGGATGTGATGATAGCTGCACATGTCTGATCCCTCAGTACAGTATCTGGTTTTACAGGGGCCAGTTACGTGGAATCTTTCTTAGAAGCAGTTTATTTAGGGCTTCCTCTTGCATTTGAGGCAACACATTCACATGTTAATATTGTTTTTTATGCAATTAGCAAAAGTAATGTATTTCAACTGCAATTAATCAGCTAAGACTACTGCCTCTTTCCATTCTGACTTCCCCTTGAGTTGGTAATGAAAGAAGCAGAGGGCATTTGGGGATCTGGCTAAAGAGAAGTTAGTTGGGCTTATTGTATTGGCTTGGGTTAAGTGGGATCTATTTATGCCAGTCAGTTATTTTCAATATATATTTTTTTATTGATTTTGTACAGAGAGGAAGGGAGAGAGATAGAGAGTTAGAAACATCGATGAGAGAGAGTCATCGATCAGCTGCCTCTTGCACACCCCCCATTGGGGACATGCCAAGGTACATGCCCGTGGTACATGCAACCAAGGTACATGCCCTTGACTGGAATCGAACCTGGGACCCTTCAGTCCCCAAGCCGACGCTCTATCCATTGAGCCAAACCGGTTATTTTCAAGTATACTTAAGCTTATACTTACAGTTTTATGTTCTTTCTCAGTTAAAGGAGGTCTGCCAAAATGTGTAAAGTTTAAACTGTACTAACCCTAGTTCTACCCTGCTCAGAAGAGACAGATGCTCAAAACACTATCACTATTTGCTTATTTTTTGGATAACTTCTTCTAACTGAATTTGTTACCTAATCCTATCTAATAAAAGGATAATATGCAAATTGACCATCACTCCAACACACAAGATGACTGCCCCATGTGTTCAAAGATGACGACCCCCAAGTGGACACAAGATGGCCGCCACAAGATAGTCAGCAGGGGAGGGCAGTTGTGGGCAATCAGGTCAGCAGAGAAGGGTAAAGGCGAGGGACCTGGTCTGCAAGGGAGGACAGTTGGGGGCAATCAGGCTGGCAGGGGAGGGCAATTAGGAGGAACCAGGCCTGCAGGGGAAGGCAGTTGGGGGAGACCAAGCCTACAGGAGAGGGTAGCTGGAGGTAACCAGGCCTGCAAGGGAGAACAGTTGAGGGGGGACCATACCTGCAGGGGAGGGCAGTTGGGGGCAATCAGGCCTGCAAAGGGGGGGGGGGCAGTTATGAGTGACTGGACTGGCAAAAAAGAGCAGTTGGGGGTGACCGCCCTGCAGGAGAGGGCAGTTGAGGGGGACCAGGCCTGCAGGGAAGGGCAGTTAGGGGTGACCAGGCTGGCATGGGAGGGCAGTTAGGAGCAATAAGGCTGGCAGGGAGCAGTTAGGGCATCGATCAGGCTGGAAGTGGAGTGGTTAGGGGGTGATCAGTCTGTCGAGCAGAAGCTGTTAGGGGCAATCAAGCAGGCAGACAGGTGAGTGGTTGGGAGCCAGCAGTCCTGGATTGTGAGAGGGCAACGGGGCATCCCTTCAGGGGTCCCAGATTGGAGACAGTGTAAGCAGGGCTGAGGGACAACCCACCCCTTGCACAAATTTCGTGCACCAGGCCTCTAGTCCTATCTAATAAAGAGGGAATATGCTAACTGACCCTCACACCATTGCAAAGATGGCAGCACCCACAGCCAATAAGGAGGGAATATGCTAATTGACTGCCATGCCCTCAAAGACGGCAGTGCCTTTGCACACCTACCTCCGAATTCCCCTGACCCCTCAGTCTCCCAGCTGCCCAGGGCTGGCTTGAGGTGCAGGCAAGCCTTGGATGGAAGTTGCCCAGCTGCCTAGGGCTGCCCAAGGCTCAGGTAACCAGGGCTGGCTAAGGCTTGTGCTACCAGCAGTGGCAGCAGTAGAGGTCTGATGGAGGCGTCGCCTCCCACCCCTGAGGGCTCCCAGAGTGTGAGAGGATATAGGTCGGGCTGAGGGACCCCCTCTAGTTATTTAATGAAGCCAAATTAAAAAGACTCATTCATTATTCATATGTATGCTCAGCAAATAGAAACTGGGCATCTATTATATCCCGGGCCTTGGGAATAAAACAATGATGAGACAAAATTGCTGACCTCATGGAGTTTACACGTAGTGAAGGAGACAGATAAACAAATAAACTAAAAATATATACCTTGAGGGACAGATTAGTGCTATGAAGAGATGTAAACATACAGTAAGGGGCCAGTAAGTGGTAAAAGGTGAAAGAGACAGCATTTTACAGGAGTGGGCTAGAAAGACTTTCTTGAGCCAGTGATGTTTCAGCAAACCATGTGAGAGAAAAGCATCCAAGAAGAAATACAGGAAGTGCAGAGGTCCTAAAGCAGGAACAAACTGGTCTATACAACTGACAAGAAAATCAGTGTGACTTATAATAAAACACCAGATGATTTTGAGCATATTAGAGAGATGATCATATTATCATTTCTAAAAGATCATGTGGACTGCTGTGTAGAGAACAGCAGGAAGGGCAGAAAACTCTGTAGCACTTCCTAAACATACCAAAAAAATAATTCATGCAATTAAAAGCAAATCCTCATTTCTAAATCCTCATTTCTCATCTAAAAAGGGTGAGTCATAGTATCTCTCCAACAGAATTATTGTGAGGATTAATGGATTTGGGGTATGTAAGAGCTTAGCACAAAAGTAAGCACTAAATAAACAGTAGCTATTATTAAAAACACAGTTCTGGAGTGAACGTCATGCAGGGACATGAATATATCCCCTTGTATTTTTGAAGAGCAAGTTTGCCTGGTACCTTGAGCTTCATATTAAGATTACATTGTATTGCCTTGTTATTTTAATTTGCATAAAATTTTATCAAGTAAAAAACGTTTAAACCTTTTTATAATTGCATTTTAATATCTGCAATTTTATAATTTAAACTGAATTTCACTTTTATTTTTTATGACAGAAAGTTATCAAAAACCAAATTAAATCAAACCATTAATAAACAATTTTTAAAAATTATAAATTTTACCTGGCCATTTCCAAGAAGAGATATATCTTTCCCCATTAGAAAATAGGATCCATAAAAGAAAATGAAGGCATGACTGAAACCCAGGATGGTCCAGTAAAGAAAATTTGCAATGCTTAATTGACGGTTTTTACTAATGTCTCTGTACATTTTTTTTTTAAAAGAGAAGAAAAAGGAACATATTAGAACTCATATTTATTATTTATATAATCAATAATCATTACAATCAAACCACTACTTATATAATAATAATATATAACTGCATAACATCTTAATAGTTCACACTAGAGGACCAGGGTCATGCACCAGTGCGAGTCCCTTGGCCTGGCCTGGGGGTATTGGGTCGAAACCAGCTCTCCAACATCCCCTGAGGGATCCCGGATTACGAGGGGATGGTTCTCGGGTGACGCATACTGGAATTGGGCTCCCTCCTCTCTGGTTCTGGATGCTTCCCCCAAGAACCAAAGCTGCCAAGTCACCACAGCTTGGCAGCTCCTACATTGAGCGTCTGCCCTCAGGTAGTCAGTGCACATCATAGCTACTGGTCGAATGGTCAAATGGTCGCTTAGACTTTTATATATATAGTCTGGAGGCCTGGTGCATGAAATTCATGCATGGGGGAAAGGGGAGTCCCTCAGCCTGGCCTGCACCCTCTCCAATCTGGGACCCTTCAGGGGATGTCTGACTGCCTCTCGCAAGTTGGGACTGCTGACTCCTAACCGCTCGCCTGCCTGCCTGGTCACCCCTAACTGCTTCCCCAATGGCCTGATTGCCCTACTTCTGTCTCGACCTGTACCCAGGACCCAGGATTCCCTTCTCTGGCTAGTCATAGGCACCAGGGACCTGGGCTTCCCTCCCTCTGGCTGGCCGCAGGTATCCAGGACCCAGGCCGGTTTCGCCCTGGCTGGCACAGGGGCGCGTGGATTTGCCAAGGCTGTAGGTGCTGTCACCTGGGACCATGGGGTAGGAGGCTTGTCGCTTTCCCAAGCCACAGAATGGCTGGTCCCCATTCCTCTCTCGCAAGCTCATTTGAGCCTGTCTGGTCCCCATTACTCTCTTGCAAGCTCTTTTATGCTTTTCTAGTCCCCATTCTTCTCTTGCTAGCTCATTTGTGCCTATCTGGTCCCCATTTCTCTCTCATGAGCTCATTTGTGCCTGGATGATTCCCATTCCTCTCTGGACAGTATTAAGTATCTGAGCCCTTACAGTGTGATGGCCATTTGCATATTAGTTCTTTATATATAGGATACTTTCAAATTCATTTTCTCATTTGAAAAATTTTTTTATTTTAATTGTAAAAAGTTGATTTATCTGTATTATACTCTGTTGTAAACATTTAGTCACTCTGCCATGACTGTTCTTTTTAGTGGAGTCATTTTAGTTAGGTTCAGTACTGAGGCTCCCAATAGATTTCATGTCCATCAATAGCTATCATGAGAAAACCAGTCTTTGCCAATCTTGGGTCAAGCCCAGTCCTAGATATCTTGGGAATTCAAGGTTAAATTTTTGCCATTTCCAGATAATTGAATGCCTCTATAAGAGTGGAGGTCAGGTTAATGTGGAAATAAAACTGATTCTGAGGAAAGTTCCACATCTCTGTGATTACTTGGTTCTGTGGAACCAGAACTAATGCAGAGTATATGAGACAAGAATTAATGTCCCTAACTCTTCATTTCATATTGATTACTACTCATAAATTTGGCAATGCCAGAACATAAAAATTAATATTTAAGAAACTCTAGAGACAACCAATTACTGAATAACTTCATTTGTGCACATGAAATAGACTATTACTGGCTTCCAATGGTAAATGTAAATTATACAACTGCTGCCTGATGCATTACCAGGGTAAAAGTGTTCATTCCTAAAAACATTGGAATAATTATGTGTTCAACAATTATAAACTATACAACAACTAAAGTACTTTCCTTAGTAAAGTATTAAACACCAAATATTTACTTATTTTTAAAAATTGGTAACTTGTAATCAGAAATGTTATGGACATTTAATACTGGAAAATACTTACCGATAGAGGGTGGGCTTGTTCTGTAATACATGAGGGTCTATATGCTGTTCCAGTAGACTATATATCAGAATAGGTAGGGAAGTAAAACAAATATTGTATAAAGTCAGGTACACGCTGTCATACAATGTCTAGAAAGAGAAATTGATAGAAATTTTGAGATTCTGAAATATGTATTATACTTATGCATATTAAAAACAAAGAAGCGTATCAAAATAAACAAAACTATGTAGTTTTTTCAATTTATACAAAAATCAATTTTAATAATCCTAATTTGTTTCTGTCTAAGCATTCACATATAATGTTCATAGATTTATATTTCTTGTAGAAATTGGAATATTTTGTTATGCCAAATAATTCTGGAAATACAATGATTTGGATCTACATTTCAAGCTTCTCCACAATTTGGTCACTGTGATATAATTTTACATAATTCTCCTACATGCTTCTAGGTTTCTTACTATCTCTTTGATATGTTACACATTTAGTTTTGCTTTCACTGTTTTGTCTTTGCCTCTAAGTCCTACACTTCCTTTAAGCCATGATTCATGAAACTTTACACATTTATGATAGTTTTCTCTTCTAAACAGTCCTATGTGCTACTATTGTTACTAATTTGGTTAGCACTTTGTCTATGGTTCACATATTGTTTTTATTGTTATTAATATTTTACCTTTAAATATACTGTTAACTCCCTGAAACTTAATCAAGAGATTTGTTCTCCTTGTCATATGCTCTTATAGCATTCTTTACTTCTTTCAAGTAAACAAACATTATTGGCAATCAATGTCTAAGCAGATATTTAGAATTTTAAGTTACAGATTGTAAACTGGAGAAAACAGTAATGGTAGAACAAAATCATGAAAAACCTAAAGTAATTAAGCTCTTATTGTTTCAATAAACTTAAAACAAATGTCTTGATCAATTAAAGATGTATAGTGCAGTTTGTGAAGAGGGTGCTTAATTAGTCAGAAGCAGTAGATCCAAATATGGTATAGTTATTAACTTAGCTATGAGAACTTGGGCAAGTTACTGAATCTCTGTGTATTTTAATTTCCTTTTTTATAAAGTAAGACAGAGTAGATCAGAAATGGGAAATATGTGACATGTGTACAGCTACTGCTAATTAAGAAAAGGGTTTTCCTTCTGAGCCTATAGCTTGAGAACCCGTTTCAATATAGTGCTCCTGCCAATTATTTAGTAAGCTTCTAAGATTAAACCTGTATGTCATCCCTGAACTCGATCACTAGGTAAGTAAGGTTCCTTCCAAATGTAAAAAAAATTTATGTTAAAAAAAAAAAAGGTAATACCCCCAACAATTTTCTGTCCTGGCTTGATATGGATTTTACAGAAATATTACATACACTAATTAGAAGATGTTTTATCTAATTATCAGTAGGATTAGGAAAAATTTCCTCCAAGGATTTATCAAACACTGAATACACATAATTTATTCTGAACGTATAAAAACAAAAGCTTCTATTTACTTACTTGTTGAGAAAACAAACAGTAGAACTGATATAAAAATTGGGGTGTGATAAAGCACACATTCTGAAAAACAAGATTAAATAGAAATAATTAAAATATTTAGGTTCAAAGAAAATTTTTTTAAAATGAATAATGAGTCTAGAAACACAGTCTCAGTTGATATGGAAAACAGATCTGCCTATAAGAACTTGTCCATACAAAATGGGAAAACAGGATTCCCATTTTATTAAAAAATGTCTGAAAGTATTCTACACAGAACTGCAAATGTCAGAATAAAAGGCTCTCAACTTGTATCATTGCCAAGCAATACCGTAATTCTGAATTTATACCTTCCAATTATTATTCAATATTTTCACATACAGCACAAGTAAGTTTTATTTCAACTTTAGGGTATAGTAGCTTTAAAATATTTAAAACAGAATAAATGGAACTGTCAAACATCTGATTTCAATATACTTATGTCACAGCAGAACTATAAGCTAGAAAGAAAAACTGCCACCATCATTATTAACAACTAGAAGATTCATGCACGGGTGGAGTCCCTTGGCTTGGCCTGCAAGGATTGGGCAAAAACATCTCCTGAGGGGTTCCACACTGCAGGAAGGTGGTTCTCAGGTGACATATCCTGAAATCGGGCTCCCTCCTCTCTAGTTCCAGGTACCATCACCCAAAGACCGTAGCTGCCAAGTCACCATAGCTTGGCAGCTCCTGTGTTGAGCGTCTGCCCCCAGGTAGTCAGTGCGCCTCATAGCTACCGGTCAGATGGTAGAATGGTCACTTAGGCTTTTATATATAGATAAACTAGTGGCCTGCTGCACAAAATTTGTGCACATTAAAAGGGATTAGAAGAAATATTTTAATATTGCTATTAGCCCTTTCTCTATAATAGAAGTATCAGAGATGAAAGAAAATTAGTAAAATGTATATGAAAATCTTCCTCTTGTCAGAGTCTGGGGTGCACCACAGCCTCAGGTCCCCTGGCCTGGTGCCGGGAGGGGGGCACAGCCTTAGGTCTCCTGTCAAGCCCCCTGGAGGTGGGGGGCGGGGGGGGAGAGACACAGCCTCAGGTCCTTGCTTATTGCACGTTAAGTCTCATTATGGGAACTCGGCCTCCGCTGTGGGTACAACCATCTTGTGTTATGGAAACCCAGCTTCTGCTGATGACACTGCCATCTTTGTAGCAGAGTGATGGTCAATTTGCATATTCCCTCTTTTATATAGGATATGCAATCTACCTGTGTTCTTTCATTGGCTTGCAGCTATTACTTAATTACAGGTATATAGGCAACATAGGATATTTTGGTGTATTAAATGTCTTGCTACTCAGGGGCTCTTAACTTGAGTTCCACCGAATCCTACCTTCTTTAAAAGAGTCAAGAGACAGAACAGTACTTCAACATAATTGGTTCTCTTGTAACCCTAGGTATTTAATTTTACGCATTTAACACGTTAAGCGCCAAGCATGTTTTGTCTTCCTTTCTAGAAAGTACAGTGTTAGTCACCGGTGATTTACATGGCACTTAAAGTATTAAAAGCCCTATACATCTCACTTGATTACCAGTTATTCATGACACAAAAAGATTTAGAATGCCTGCTTGAAACCATCATATTGAAGTTAAATTAAAACTTACTACTGGTTCAAAACAGAATATAAAAGAAATCAAATTAATTGAGTTCAAATATGCATAAAATAAAATGTATCAATTTTAACTGTAAATTTTTTATGTGTTTTGACAAATTTATACACCAGTGTAACCACTACCACAATCAAACTAGATTAACTTTTCTCTCATGCAAAATTTTCCATATCCCTTTCCAGTCAATTGTATAACCTGCACCCTTGGCACCAGGCAATCTTGATTTGCTGTCAGTACACATCAGACTGATGACTAATAATCTAACTATATTCCATAAACTGTTATTTTATGGAAATGATTTTTAAGAAAAACTGTTATGGAAACCATTTTTAAGAATAATTTGTATGGTGATAGTATTCCTTAAACTGAAGCTTCAACTTACTGTCAATAAATGATTCTAAAATATTTCCATGAGTCTAGCCAGTGTAGCTCCGCAGCTGAGCATCGACCCAGGAACCAAGAGGCCACTGGTTCTATTCCCGATCAGGGCACAGGCCAGGTTGGAGGTGCAATCCCTAGTAGGGGGCATGTAGGACGCAGCCAATATATGATGTTTCTCTTTCATCATTGATGTTTCTATCTCTCTCCCTCATACCCTGCCTTTCTCTCTAAAAAAAAAATAAGAAATCAATAAAAACATTTTAAAAAAAGAAAAAAAAGTAAGTAAAACATAAAATATTTCCATGAAACTCACCTTATAAAAAAAATACTGTACAAGGGTAGCTATTCTAATATAATAAAAGTGACCATGAACAAAGAGCAACTTGGAGAGAAATTTAAATCTTGCTATTGCATAGTCACTGTTTCTTGCAGCTTGTCTTCCTTCTTTACCCATGATTCCTGCAATAAAAGGGACAAAAAGGTAAATTCATTGAAAACTGTTAAGTACAATTTTCATGATATATCTATGAATGTGTTAATTATAGCAGCTGAAGTTGGACTTAGGATACCTATATCCTAAGATACAGCAGAGAGTAGATTGCCAAAAATTTGTTCTAAATCAAATATATAATTAATATAAAACTACAATATATACTAGGCAGGTAGCATCAATTTTCAAAGGTCTAGAATGTAATATAAAATATAATTAATATAAAAATAATGTTGAAAGTCCCAAATCTAGTAAGAACGTAAGTTACACTAATAAGTTCAAAGTATTTAATAGATTTCTAATGGAGAGGATGCTATAAAATAGTTTTAACTTCACTGAACATAAATAATATCCAAACCGAATAATTTGAACCTACCAAAAATGAGCATGTTTGAGTTCTTTAAATTTTTCACACATAACTCAAACAAAATGCACTTTTAAAGTATACTATCATCTGAAATCAGTACATAATTCTATCTGATAAATGAGTATATTTTTAGGTTATGATAATATTCTGTTTTCAAAAGAGTTATTGCCAAGTTCACTTTTTAAATCTGGAAGCAACTTTGAAAAATTATTTTTCAAAATTAAAAATTTAAATTTTTGTCATAAAAGGATAGAAATGTTCGAAAGTGTTATAGGTAAAGACAACTCTATTCATAGCATCTAGAAAAAGAAAACTATTTTTGGTATATATACTTTCAGGATTTTTCCTTCCATATATTCTGTATGTCTATATATTTATTATATGTAAAAACAAGTGTATAAAAATGAGATTGTTTTGTAATCTACTTTTGTCTCTTAATTTATTATTATGGACACAGTTTATAACAAATGTCTTTGACAACAATATTCACATATTTTCTTAAAAGAAATTTCAGAAAGAAACTCACTATAGACTGATTCATTTGCCTCTCAGCATAACCATTATTGCTTGTCTCATTTTGGGTTCTTACAACTGTACTAGAGGCCCAGTGCACAAAATTCGTGCATGGGGGCAGGGGGATGTCCCTCAGACCAGCCTACATCCTCTTCAAACTGGGATCCCTCTCCCAATCCAGGACTGCTGGCTCCCAACTGCTTACCTGCCTACCTTCCTGACTGCCCCTAACTGCTTCTGCCTGCCAGCCTGATCACCCCCTAACCACTCCCCTGTCAGCCTGATTGATGCCTAACTGCTCTCCTGCCAGCCTGTTTGCCCCCAACTTCACTCCTCTGCTGGCCTGATCACCCCTAATTGCCCTCCCCTGCAGGGTTGATCACCTCCAACTGCCCTTCCTTGTAGGCCTGGTGCCTCCCCACTGTCCTCCCATGCTGACCATCTTGTGTCCACATGGACGCAGCTATCTTGATCTTGTGTGTTAGAGAAATGGTCAATCTTCATATTACTCTTTTATTATATAGGATAGAGGCCTGGTGCATGGGTGGGGGCCAGCTGGTTTGCCCTGAAGGGTGTCCTGGATCAGGATGGGGGTTACCTTGGGGGGTGGGGCAGCCTGGGCGAGGGGCCTGTGGTGGTTTTCAGGCCAGCCATGCCCCGTGGCGACCCTAGTGGAGGCCCTGGTATCTGGAATTTATTTACCTTCTACAATTGAAACTTTGTAGTCTGGAGCAGAGCCAAGCCTTCTGCTTGCTCCATGGCTGCCGCCATTTCTGTTTGGATTTGTTTACCTTCTACAATTGAAACTTTGTAGCCTTGAGTGGAAGCCTAGGCTGGCTAGGGCAGGCAGAAATATTGAATTCTAAGCCCTCAATTCTTCCGTTGCCTGGGAAACCCAAGCCTTCCTCCTGCTCTCTGTAGCCATCTTGATTGGGTTTATTTGCATACTCGCTCTGATTGGCTGGTGGATGTGGGTGTAGCGGGGTAATGGTTAATTTGCATATTACTCTTTTATTAGGTAGGATTTCTAGTATCACATGACCCCACTCATCTAGGGGAAATAATGAACAACATAAACTGATGAACAAAAACACACCCGGAGACAGAGAAGCATTCAAACCTCAGAGGAAAAGTAGGGGAGGGTGGGGGTAACGAGGAGAGGTCAACCAAAGGACTTGTATACATGCATATAAGCCTAACCAGTGGTCACAGACAACAAGGGGGTGGGAGCATGCATGGGGATGGGTTTGGTATGGGAATGGGGGGATGAGGACAAATATGTGATACCTTAATCAATAAAGAAATTAAAAAAAAAAAAAAGGAAATTCCAGATGCACAATTGCCAGGTCAACAGGCAAATAATTATAATTTGACTCTTACAAACAACTAATAAGAGCATTTATTAATGTATAGCTTTACCAATTCCAGATTTTATCAATCTTTATAATTTTTGTCACTCTGATAGGCAATATAAACTTGAATTCTTTTGTTTGAGAGAGATTGAATCCTTCTTTCATGCATTTAGTATTCATTTTTGATTTCTCCTTTTCTGACAACTGATGGCTCACATCCTTCCACATATTTCTACTATAGTATTTTTCTTATTCTTAATTTGTTAAGAATTCACATATTAGGAATATTAAGACTGTCATCTATTTTGAAAATATTCTTTACTACTCTGTCTTTAAAATTGTTTTGGGACAGTATTTACTTTTGTCACACATATTGATCTTTTTCTTGCTTTATGTTGGTATTGTATTTAATAGATAGACCTTTTTACACCTCAAAATACACAAATATTCATTAAATTTTTCCTTTATTACTTTTTAAGGTCTTTAACAAGTTTTATCAGTACTTTTTATCAAGTAAGTTGTTTCCCTACTGATGTTTAAATAGCTTTACCAGGTAAGTATCTATCTGAATCTATTTAAACATCTGTTTAAATTTACCCTATTCATCAGTCGATCTATTAGCATACTAGACTCAAACTGTTATAAATACTGTAGCTTTTTTATGCTTTAATATATGATATAGGAAGGTATCAAATTATTAGGGAGAATTATGGGAAACAATATACAAACTGAAAAGAAAATTAAGCTTTCAAAATGAAGATTTAATTATCCTAAAGAAATAGGAGTTTATTTGAAATAAAATAGAAGCATTAGACCCAATAACTACTCCTCACAGGATATTACAGAAATTATTCCAAAATAGGACCAGTAACACTGTTTTCTAAAACTAAAAATTTACCCTTTAACGAGAAACCCATACTTTTCTCTTTACTTCTGTATTTGTATAATAAAATTATTGAGGAAAACAGGTCAGAATATGGTTTAAGTAGTAAATGACTGATAATTTAAATAAAATAATTATAAAATGCTAGGCAAAAAATTTAGAATTAAAGTTATTAAATAGGAAGGCTATTTGGAATTTTGTATTTTATTACTGTTTGGTATGATTTTCTGTCTTTAAAGTTGTCTTTAAAATAAGCTGCAGAATCTTTAGATTGACAAAAAATAACAATAACATTCTAAAACGAGAATTTAAAACCAGGAAAGTATCTATGTAAATTACAAATTTAGAGTTTAAACGGGATAAAATAATATATCAAAGTACTTTAAAAAGTATAAAATTGCATGTAAAAACAAAATTAATTTATTATGAAGGAGAATTGGAATAGAAAAATTCATTAATGTGGTCTTCATGTCTTTGAAAATTTGGAAATAAAATACTCTAAATATTGATAAGGAAATACTATATTACCATGTTGCATTCAATTTTCATTCAAGTATTTGATACTATCTTTTAAGCTACAAAAGAAAAATTCAAAATCCCCAAATAACTGTACCAATGTTAAAAGCTCAGGGAAAAAGAAAAAATCAATCACCTATGCCAACATGTGCTTCTTGTATCATGCTTACATCATTAGCACCATCACCAACAGCCAATGTTATAGGTTTCTCAGGTGAGATTTTTATCAGTCTGATTACCTGAAAGACATACATCTAATTAATCACGGTAAAATTTCAACTTCTTATATTTATAGAAAGTCATTTATCAGAAATGACTCTGTTGAAGGAAGTAGAAAAAATTAATTTTATATCAGACAATAATATTCTCTATGATTGATTTTTTGAGGGGTGTCTTTTTCTACTAGGATGTTAGAAATGTCTTTCAGAATGACACTGCAGAACAGTATTATCTTATATACATAGCCCATGGACATGGGCAATAATGGTAGTGAAGATCTGGGGAATGGGTAGGGGCGGGGAGGAGGAGGGTAAAGTGGAGAGGGATTGAGAGATATCTATAATACCATCAATAATAAAAAAAATACTTAAAAAAAAAAAGCAAAACCACACAGTTATTATCTTGGATTTATTACGGAAGCAAAGATCTTTAAATACAGTTTAACTTTGTAAAAAGCTTAATAACGGTGCAAAAAGTAATAACTATTTGAACTTTGTTAGGCGAAAAATAATTATTTTCAAATATTTAAAAAGCAATCAAAATTAAATTAAATGAAATTTAAAAAATGTTTCTTTGAAATTCTTGAATATACTGTTATAAAGAATCTAGATGTTAGTTTTAGTCTTCATAGACTGAGGGGTCATGCGTTATATAATATAGGCATTAAAAGAAAGTTCTGTGAAGCCAAAAACTACTGAATGCCTAATTTATTAGATCTATATATGAAACAAACCAGTGTTTAGATGTACATTTCAAAGGCTACTATTTGTGAAGGATACAGTCTAAGACCTCAAATTACAAATTTGGAGTTATAAAAAAATATTTGTATAGGCTTTCACTTAGAATCATAGCTGAAATTTAAATCTTTTTGTATATAGTTTAATATCACAATTGGCTTTCCAACTTCTTACTGAAGTTCTATTAATAGCCATTTTTAATAAAGAGAATTTAAATTTCACAAGAATGCAAGAATAAGCAAAGATCAACAGAACCCTCTGAAAATGGATGTGAACTGAAGTCTTACAGGCTCCCTCAGTAGGTAAGTAACTAAATTGTGAAACTTTAGTTGTCAGAGCTCAAATTTGTGTCTCAGGAAAAATCACAATTGCTAACCATCACAGACTTTCTAGGTTATTTATTATGCATAACTGAAATTTCTACATTGACTCTGAAAATTCCAAAGGTCTAATAACATACATGGTTAAAATTCATGAGAAATGACGGACCCGTAGTTAAGAGTCATATACGTACTGCATACCTCCAAATAGACCTAATTCAGTCATTAATCTTAAAAAATACTTTTAGATCTATGTATCTTTAATTTAACTTTTTATAACATAAACATACCTTAGCTTTCTGGAGTGGTGCCATACGACAGCATAATACTGCTGAGCAATTTCTGCAAACATCCATAAATAGTTTTTCATGCTCCCTGAGTGCAAGAGATAGACTGGTCCCATCCACAACCAGCCCATGCTGAATCACATGATCGTCTGTAATTCTAAGACAGAAAATAATTATGTCCTCTGTAAGATACTTTGAAGTCATATTATTTACATTAGCTTAGTAAACAAAAGATTTACTGAAAAATGGACCATTCATCTACAGACTTTATTATCACAAAACTGACATGTCAGGGAACAAACCAAATTTAATGAGGACAACTAATATATTACCTAGAAGTTAAGATTAAGTAGAACTGAGAGTGACCGATATCATGAATTAAAAAGATGATATTCAATTTTACAATGTTCTGATATGTAGACACAGTAACTGTATTTTCTAAATGTGTACTGTAACGTATCATCTCAGTATATTCTCCCAAATTGAGCATAAAGTCTTACTAAAATAAAAACTTTGTTATATTTAGTAAATCCTAATTTTAAAAAATTGAATAAAAACATTCAGAAAAAAATCATAAAGGAATGAAGGAATCCTAACTATTCTTGATATTAACTCCTCCAATGGACTGTAACATGAGATATTATTATGGTGAAACATGGATAACACTTCCCTTGTGGGCATCCTAATATCCTAATATATAAAATTCCAGGGTCCGTAATATCCAAAACCACCGAAGGCTCAACTGACGGGAAGTCAGTGCTGGCTGCCGCTGACAGAGCCCCAACCCAGCACTGACTGCCAAGGGGGCTGCAGATCAGGCCTGACGAGAAACCTGGAGAAAGAAGCAGGGTCTGATCCATAGCCTCCGTGGCAGGTGTTGATCAGCACTTGCCTCTCTCTTTTGCTCTGGGCCTGGCCAGGAGCTGTGCCTCTTTTTCTCTCAGGCCTCCAATGGTGCTGCTGATCAGCCCCGTCTCTCTGATCAGGCCCGTTGATAGGCCTGGAGACGCTGACTGGCATTGAAACCAACCAATGAGAACCAAATATGAGTGAACTGCAAGGAGCCATTGGCTACCTAGAAGGCAGAGCTTTTGACACTCACTGGCAAAAAAACTGATCAATCAGAACCAAATCTGGGTGAACTGTGAAGGCAGAACCTAAGTTGGGGGCTGAGAAGGGGTTTTAAGGGCAACAGCTGTTTGGTGTAAGGTGTAAGAAAGTGGTTCAAATTTTTAATGACTGGTTTGCCAGTATAGTGCATATGGCTGGCTATCAGTCCAGATATAGGGATTATGTATTTTTGTGTGCCAAGAGCATCTCCTCCTAATGAAAAAGACTTCTCCCTCAACCCCCCCATTTAAGCAATCATATCCTATAAAATCTATAATACTAAAAGGGTAAGATGCTAATTAGATCAGGTCGACAAGCCATCTTCCAAATGTCTGACTTCCTTCCAGACAAAGCCATAGTGGTGTGTGCAGAGGCCGTTAGGTGCAATCAGGCCAGCAGGGGAGGGCAGTTGGGGGAAACCAGGCCAGCAGGAGAGGGCAGTTGGGGTGAGATCAGGCTTGCAGGGGAGGACAGATGGGGGCAAGATCAGGCCAGAAGGGAAGGGCCACTGGGGGTAAAATCAGGTTGGCAGGGGAGGGCTATTGGGGTGAGATCAGGCCTGCAGGGGAGGGCTGTTAGGGGTGAGATCAGGCCAGCAGGAGAGGGCAGTTGGGGGCAACCAGACAAGCAAGGGAAGGCAGTTGGGGGCAAGATCAAGCCAGCAGGGGAGGGCAGTTGGGGTGATCAGGCAGGCAGGCAGAGAGGTTAGGGACGATCAGGCAGACAGAAGGGTTAGGGGCAACAGGCAGAGGCAGTTAGGGGCAATGAGGCAGGCAGGTAGGTGAACGGTTAGGAGCCAGCAGTCCCAGATCCCAGATTGCGAGAGGGATGTCTGACTGCTGGTTGGACATCCCCCAAGGGGTCTCCGATTGAAGAGGGTGCAAACTGGGCTAAAGGAACCTCCACCCCTATGCATGAATTTCATGCACTGGGCCACTAGTATGCTATATGAGTACTACTCACGGTCTGATTACTGGCAACTGGGCAAACTATTTGTTGCCAGGAAGAGATAAGCTTGCATCAGTATCTAAATCAACTACATTACTGATCACACTATTTGGTTGCACTGTTTCTCTCCAGTCCTCTTTTGTAAAGATTTCCTTGGTAAAAAAAGCAATATACAGATTTACATTCTGGTGCAAGCATTGTATTCATTATTCAGAGATACTTAAATATATTGTTGAAGGCCAGCACTCAAAGTAGCATTGCGCTGCATCTAATTTGATAAAATAATCAACACTTCTTTGTGCTTTATCCACTGAGCCAAACTGGTTAAGGCTTTACTGTGCTTTATAAGTGTGATATTAGCTCTAGCAAGTTAGGCTCAGTGAATAGCAGGTTGGCCTGCAGACTGAAGAGCCCCGGGTTTGATTCCAGGCCAGGGCACATGCCCGGGCTGCAGGCTCGATCCCCAGAAGGAGTCATGGCGGAGGCAGCTGATCAATGATTCTCTCATCATTGATGTTTCTCTCTCTTATTCTCCCTCCCTCTCTGAAATCAATAAAAATATATATTTTAAAAAGTGTGATATTAAAAGTCCATTTTTTCCAAATGTAATTTGTCAGTCTGTCCAATGCTTCTCTGACTCTGTATCTATCTTTTTGTTTGGGATGGGGGCACCAGTAAGAGATCAGCCAAAGGACTTGTATGCATGCATATAAGCATAACCAATGGACACAGGACACTGGGGGTAAGGGTGAAGGCACGTCCCAGGGGAAAGGTGAGGCCGGGGGAAGGTCAATGGGGAAAAAAGGAGACAATGAAATAAAATTTAAACAAACAAATAAATAAAAGTCCATTTTTTTTGTTTGGAGATGATGAGTAAATAATGATAATTAAAATACAGTAAGCCCTGGCTGGTGGCTCAGTTGGTTGGAGCATTGTCCTGTACACCAAAAGTTGCAGGTTTTGATTCCTGGTCAGGGCACATATCTAGGTTGCAGGTTAAACTGTACGGGAAGTAACCAATCAAGTTTCTCTCACAACGGTGCTTCTCTATCTCTAAAAACCAATGGAAATATATTCTCAGGTGAGGATTGAAAATAGAAAGTAAAATGTCATATGGCAGTATGTGTGGCACTCAAGACACTACTGGATTAAAATTGAGTTGCTGTTGAGGTGTATCAAGCAGCAATGAAAAATGATAAAAATGCTTCATAAGGTCTCAGTTGTAACTACTCAGCTCTGTTGCTAGAGTGCAAAAGCCTTTACTTATGACATGTAAATGAATAAAGGTGATTGTGTCCCAATAAAATTTTATTTACAGGCATCAAAATATGAATTTTATATAATTTTCACGACATGAAATATTCTTCTTTGGATTCTTTATCGATCAAATAATATAAGAATTATTTTGAGCTCATGGGCATTAAAAACTGACAGTGGGCCATAGTTTGCTTACCCCTCAATTATCTGACTCAGATAATTATATTCTTACCTTCTGGCAAGTTGCCTCAATTGTTCAGCACATTCGCTGTCTGATTTCTGGTTTATAAGTTCAAGGATATTCATGGTTCTGTGAAAATGTCCACATGATAAACTCACACTAACAGCAGTTTCACGTTTATCTCCAGTAAGTACCCATACTTTGATACCAGCCATTCTCAATGCTTCAATAGTTTCTCGAACTTTATCTTGTAGTCTGAAAATAAATGAAACAAAATTAGCAGTAGAAAATACTTTTCTGATTGTATTTTAAATATAAATCATGGATTATAGGTAAGATAAATTCTGGATTCCTTGACCTAAGAATGTTATAGTAACATTCAGTTCAGTGATAAAACTGAATTTTCTTTTTCTCCATTAGGAAAGAGACAAGAAAACCAAATCAGTGACCATCTATGTAACATAAAATCTACAAGCATGTCAAACTCTCAGTCGATGGGTCACATGCCTCATTTATTACAAACTCATATTTTAAGAATATACTTTCAAAGTTGATTTTTATAGAAGCAATTAAGTATATGGCCTACATAAACTATTTTATTAGAAAGTCTTTAAATTTCACTATAAGATTTTTCTCTTATTTTAAGTAAATCTCTCCTATCAGCAGTTCAAAAATTAGACTGTGGACAATAAAGGACTATATAACCTCAGGTGAGTCTCAGAAGTTTCATTAGGACAACTAAAAAGTAAATGAAAACCTAGGGCTGTTTTTTTTTAAATGCAAACACACATAGATCTCAGAAGTAGAGAAAAATATAACAGGATTAATTTGTAGAATTCAATTTAATTCACAGATTTCAATTTAACTCAAGAACTGTGCAAAGCATATTGACAGTGGAGCTGGAAACAAAGACAAAGAATAAATGGACCTCAAGAAATTCACAGGCTAATAGAGAACGAAGTGGTTAAACAAATAATTGTAATATATTGCCACAAGGACAACACAGATCTACAAAACATGGAGACTTCACAAAAAGAGCTTTCTAAATTCTGTTAGAAGTATGGAAAGGTTTTAGTGGAGTGGGGCAATACCTGAACTATACTCTATAAATAGGTATTCACAAATGGGTAAGAGGAGTAAGATCAGGTAGAAGGCATAGCCTTGACAAGGAACAAAGCCATAAAATAGAACAATGTTAATTATATTTGTTGTTCAGAGGAAAACTACAGAGCTTGGTACTATCCTATCTAATAAAGACAGAATATGCTAACTGACCATCACACACTCACAAAATGGCAGTGCCCATAGCCAATAAGAAGATAATATTCTAATTTACTGACATGCCCTCAAAGATGGCAGCACCCACAGCACCCAGTCCCCTCAACCCCCCCAGCTGACCGGGGCTGGCCTGAGGCACAAGCAAGCCTTGGATGGTGGCTGCCTAGCCGCCCATGGCTGCCCAAGGCTCAGGTAACCAGGGCCAGCCGAGGATTACACTGCCAGCGGTGGCAGCAGCAGAGGTGTGATGAGGGTGTCACCTTCACCTGATCACCGAGTCACCTGCCGCCCCTGAGGGCTCCCAGACTGAGAGGGGGCAGGCCGGGCTGAGGGAACTCCCCTCCTAGGCATAAATTTTCATGCACCAGGCTTCTAGTATAAGTATAAAGTGGAAGGACACAGTAGTGGCAGGTGAGGCCAGAGAATTAAGCAGGTGCTTAAAGTCTTTGTATGGCACATACTGCAGAGTATCCTAAAAATTTAAGTCTATGAGCAAAATTATACATAGCTGTATTTTTTTTTCAACTATTTCAGATAAATGTATAGATGAAAATTATACACACTGATGGGACAAAAAGGCTTTAACTGCAGATTTTGATTTTAAATATATTAATTATATGATGTTAATAAAACTTATGTCATAAATTAGGAACACTTGGCTAAAAAAATTCTTGCATGAGAAAAATAATGTTGCCTATTTATCTGATACTTACCTGTCTTCTACTGCTGTAGCTCCAAGTAATATTAGGTCTTTCTCAATGAATTGGAAGGCATTTGCCAATTTTTCTTCCCGTTGCTGCAAGGCAGTCCTGGCTTCAAATAGGCGTCTATCTATTACTTCATATTCTTTAGATGTCAATTGTCTATATGCTATGCACAGAGTTCTCAGCCCTTTCTAACACAGAAAAATTAAAGACAAAAATTAAACAAAAATAACTAATGGGGAATCAAGAAGTCACTGAAATAAAACTGAGGACCCCATTACCAAATATCAATTACAAATAATTTAAAAAGTACTATGATCTAGTGACAGAAAATAAATGAGATGATACAAAGTCCTAGTGATCTGAGTTATGGAACACATATTATCATAACTCTTTCAATTTCTAAGGAGTTCTTAATAAGTTGCTCAAAACAAGTAAGGTCATTGAATTATATATTAGAGAATAGATAGAATCATAGATTATCTTATCTGTGGTTTTAAAACTGTTTTACATGGAAAGCCAGAAAGTTCCATAATGAAACCTTCATGATTATCAAGAGAGGCAGCCCCAGGTTCTACTTTTCTGTTTTAACTATTACAAATCCACTTTTACCTACTTCATAAGAAATTTTTTAAACAAAGGGACTATCATTTCCTGAGGGTTGATGGCAGGGGTGGGGAACATCCGGGCCATTAAGAGGCTGTGAAATCATCTGGTCTGGCCCTGCCAAAGCATTAGGGGTGAGTTAATGAAATGTGTGACCAAATATAGCAGGCTAATTTTTAAGTTGATAATTTTGGTAAGTGGCCCTTGCCAGAAAGAAAGTTCCCCACTCCTGATTTTATGGTATGATAAACTTGCAATTCAAATAAAGAAGTCTATAAAGGTGTCCATTATAAAACAACCAATACTTTCTAGAGCCACTGAATGATTTAAAATTGTATCATTACATCTTCACTGGTGAACTGAAATTATCAATACATAGAATTTTAAAATATATATGCTGGGTTCAAATTTTTCTTATGGTATTAGTATTTGAAAGTTGGTATATAAGTCTACAAACTTATAAAAGTTCCTTTTCCTCAGAAAAACCCAAAGTAAATGTTCTAATTACAGAACTTGGAAAGATAGATTTAAAAATACTTTATGACACTATTTAGCAGATTTCTAAATATTGGCATTTCTTGATTTGCAAATGACCCACACCTATAAATGCTTCTTTTATTAAACAACAGTTAAAGTACTATGAGATTTATTAACAAATGAACTTAATTTTCTCTGTAATAAACATTTATTGTCAACTATGTGCCAGCACTGTTCTGAATACTGATATGAGAGATAGTAAGGTAAAACAATGTCTTTGTTCTCATGGGTGTTACCGTGTGGTAAATGAACCAGATCGTAAACAATTAGGGAACAGTAATAGGAAAAAAGAAACCATAAGTAAAGGAGGCAGTTGAGCAGAGATGAGTACTAGCATACATTTATAGAAAATCAGGAATGAGATATCATGAGGTCCTAAGACTAAGAGAACTGCTTAATAATTTTTCTATTCACATAATTCGCACTTTATTTCTGTAAGATTCTCCTACATTATTTTATTGAAAGACATAATTCACATACCATAAAATTCACTCCTTTCAAGAGGAGATAATTCATTAATTTTTAGTTAAAGCGTTGTATAATTATTTCGGTATTTAATTCCAGAACCTTTTCATCACACCCAAAGGAATTCCGTATCTATTAGCAGATACTACACTTCCCCCCTTCCTATGGCAATCACTGTAAATTGGCTTATTTTGGATTTTTCATATAAATAAACTCTGTGGCCAAATAGTCCATTATGTGGATATGGATATGACATATTGTTTAATCCATTCATCAGCTGATGGACATATGGGTGTTTCCATTTTTGGCTATTAGAAGCACTGCTGCTGAGAACAGTTGTGTACAAGTTCCTGGTAGACATGTTGTCATTTCTCTAGGATGTATGCCTAGGAGTGAAATTGCTGCATCATTTCATACTCCATGTCCTATGAAAAACTGCCCAACTATTTTCTAAAGTGGCTATATCATTTATAGTCCCACCAGTGTATGAGGGTCCCAATTTCTCCACATCCTTGGGATTTCCCCTTTATTTTTTTTAGTAATCCTCCCCACTTTTTAATATAGTAACCTAAATGGTCCTGGCTGCTGGAAGTACCCTGATTGTAATAGGTTCAAAGAGAAGACACATTTTAACAGGTTAAAAGTAAACTTTTAACTAAGGAACATGGAGCCAACACATAATTCTATAATTTTTGATAAATTAATGCAAAAATGAAACCCCAAATCTTTCAAATATTTATATAATATATAGGTAGCTATACATATCTTTCAGAGTTTTTAAATCATAAAAATTTGCACTCACCAAAGCAAATTCATCTACATGAATTCTTGTTTTTTCTATTTCTCCACCTATACATGCAGGGAGAATTGATGACTCAGCTCCTTTAGCAAATAAAAACTTCTCACCTAAAAAGAAAAATGAGTTATCAAGCTTTTTATATTAGATAAATAAAAATTCATAGAAGTTCAGGTTGGTTACCTGAAGGTCCCTGAACAATTACACTCATTCTCCTGCGATCTGAATCAAATTCCAGAATATGAAGCAGTCTGTACCTAATGGGGGGGAAAAAGACAACTTTTTTGAATAATATCAAGCAAATATTTAGAAAGAGTCCTTATTAAAGATAAAAACGATTAATTTAGAACAAGAAATTAACCTCATCTACATTTTCAAGATGACTGGTTAAGAGTTATAGTAACAAAAGAAGATACAAATCGAAGGAATTAACATTTATTGAGCACTTACAAAATGCCAAGTACTTTACATGCCGTGCTTTAAGTCCTACGAGAGCCAAGGGAGGTAAGTCTTATCTCATTTTACAAATGAGGACTATTAAACACAGAAAGATTAAGTAAATTTGCCTAATGTCATATAAGTTTGTGAGTGAAATCCAGATCTGCCCATAGCTCCAAGTCTTTTGCACTAAAAAATGTAATTGATTCTCCTCTTTTCTGCCCAAACACACCTAAGAAATACACACACACACGTACACACACACACACACACACATGAATAACAGAGGCTCATTATAGCAGTGATTTTGAACCTGGGTTGGAATACATGTATATAGGTGGGGGAAAAATGCCTCTCTAAGGAGCAGTAAAAGAATTTGCATGGTCAGGTGTACACTAAAATTTTCTGGATGAATATATATATTTCTGGATGAAGCCTGGTGCATGAAATTCATGAAGGGGGATGGAGGGGATGGGGTGTCCCTCAGCCTGGCCTGCGCCCTCTTATAATCTGGAACCCCTCAGATAGGATCCCTGGCCAGCAAGCAGGGCCTATCAGGGCTTTCCTTCCTCTGGCTACCTACCGGCAGGTGGCCCAGACCCTGCCTATCATCTGTGCAGCACTGCCCCCCCTTCCCAATCACTGGTCGCCTCCCTTTGTGGGCGACAGGTGTGGGGTGCGATCGCTTGGCTTGCCTGGGCCTCATTCTGCGGGGCGATCACTGGCCAGCCCCGCACACTGGCCACAGAGTCACCAGCTGAGTGGCCTGGGCCCCCTCTCTGTGGGGTGATAAATTGTGGGGCCCTTCTATCAATGGCTCCTCAGAGCGAGGCCATGCCTATCCAATTGGGGCTCTGTTATCACGCTGCCAGCTGCTATCCTGGGTCTGCCCCTTTGGGGTGATAGATCACAGAACCCCTTTTCCCCCATCGATCACCCCACAGAGGGTGGCCTGAACCTCCTTCTGCAGGGCAATCATGGGGTGATGGCGGGGGCCCCCGACCAACTGCATGGCACCTGCCTTGGCTGGCCTGGCGCCAGTGCGTGTCATAGCACGGCCGTCCAGAAGTTCACCTGGACGGTCATTCTGCTGTCTGGTCGTTCAGTTGACTTGCATATTATGCTTTTATTATTATAGATTATTATAGATGATGTACATATATAATACTTTGCCCATCAGAAAGGTAAACACTGGTTGGAATGATAGCTTCTAAGTTGATGGAATGAGCTAGACAGACTCCCACATGAAAGCAAAGAATAAGCTCTACTTAGTTTGGAAAAGCATAGTCTAAAAATTTACAGCCGGAGTTGAGATGATTGGAACTGATAAAATCATGAAAGAAAGATTTGATTATAGTAAGAATGGGCCTAATTTATCATACAGTGGAAATAAGATAGCTGTTCTTTAATGTTTAAAAGATAAAATCATAGAAAATATAAGTAAATTTTTCTTTATTAGTAAGAAACTTATAAAAATCATTCCCCTAGAAGTGTGTAAAAATAAATATAAATAAATTCAAGAACCATTAAGCTAAAATAGAGATGAAAGATTCAAAGAAGTATATTATTACTGTGATGAAATACAATGTAATAATATCATTTTAGAGCAGGGTTAGTAAACTTTTTTTGTAAAGGGCCAGACAGTAAATATTTTAGGCTTTGTATACATATATGGTCTATGTTAGATATTCTTATTTTTTTTAAACGATCTCTTTAAAATGTAGTTTATGGGCTATACAAAAACAGGTTGTAGGCCAGATTTGGCCTTTGAGCCATAATTTAACTAAATCTGTTCTATACTAAATGCTTGATATATAGAAAATTACAATAAAGAAAATAATTACCGTTCCAGTTTTCCAAGTATTTTAACTTCCATAGTTTCTTCAGAATTGCCAATAAATACAATGCCAATCCTAGGATTAAAAAGAGAAAAAAATATAAAATTTAGGGAATATTTCATATTTCACAATATATCATTATAACATTGCTTGAATAAAAATATTTAAAATACAAGTTTAAGATGGATTTTATTTTATTTTTTTAAAATATATTTTATTGATTTTTACAGAGAGAAAGGGAGAGAGATAGAGAGCTAAAAATGTCGATGAGAGAGAAACATCGACCAGCCGCCTCCTGCATATCCCCTACTAGGGATACATGCCCTTGACCGGAATAGAACCTGGGACCTTTCAGTCCACAGACCGATGCTCTACCACTGAGCCAAACCGGTTTCGGCTAAGATGGATTTTAAAATATTTCCTTTTAATATAGCACTATCTTTAAGAACTTGAAGGATCAGAGTAGGTCCAAAACAATACACATGTATTCTCACGGATTATATTATTCTTATTAACCAGATTTTTAGAGATCACATCAAAATATGACTACTGCAAGCTTAACAATTGACACATTTCAAATCCTCATTAAAAAAAACAAATAAATTTCTACCTCTATGTGTTTATGAATTTTGTCTGACAATTCAAATACCGTGTTTCCCCAAAAATAAGACATCCTCCGAAAATAAGACCTAGCACATGGAAAGATAAGACATCCCCTGAAAATAAGACCTAGCATAACTTTGGGAGAAAAAATTAATATAAGACACTGTCTTATTTTTGGGGAAACAGGGTAGTAGTATTTTCACATTTTTTATTTAAAAGTTTTTTTTTTCTGACAATTTGGAAATCAGATTAAACTACCTTGCAGCAGCTTCCACTAAAGCCTTTTCATCTGGTGAAGACGCATAGTACTCCAACTGGGGGGGTGCAAGGCTGGCTTGCCAGGGACCATCCCCAATGCCATCAGTCTGAACATTACTAATCTGTACAGTGTGACAGAGACTGACTGCTTTAAAGAAGAGATCGTGTTCTTTAATCTGTAAATACATAATTAATATTCACACTATCAATACCAATCCCAAGTAACATTTAGGAAACCAGAAACAGAATTCTAAAAAATGCAAATAAATACAGTTCATATTTTGGTAATCTAAGAGCTAGAGTAAGAATGCTACAATTCTGAAATGCTTAAATAACAGCTGGTTGCTTCTAACTTTAAAGAGTAAAATGTCACATTAGCTTATGACCCGTCAACTTTTTAGGAGGCATAACCAAATTGCAAGTAATGGTGAAACCTCTTTTGTGAAAGAAGTGAGGTCTCAGAAAGTATTAAATAAATTTAAGCTCTATCTCAGCATAGTCTTTTTTACTTAAAGACAGTAGGCTTTCCTTAGCTTAGTTCCAGTTACAAACACATATTAAGTAACTGCAAATTCTCAGTATTAAACCAAAGGATATACATTTCAAATATATTTCTTGCCCCACTAACACAAACAGAACTATTTCAAATGAAGCTCCCATTTATTAATTTAAAAATTGCTTACTAGTTCAGTTTCATTTTCAGGACTGGTTCTAAAAGAAGTGGATGTAAGATGGGGTAAGTTGTTAAGATGGGAAAAACTAAGATAACTTAAGTTTCCATCTGAAGAGTCTGGTGTGGGTCTTTCAGATACAAGTCTACCATTGATTTCCTGGTATTTTATGCCATTAATCGAACATTCCCGAAACTGCATCTCGTTTTCTGTCAGTGTGCCAGTTTTATCTGTAAACACATATTCCACCTAGAGATAGGAAACAAACAAAAAAAACCACATAACCTTTGTGTTCACAATCACTACATTAAACAAGAAAAGCTGGCCTCTGCTCCTTAAGCCAAGTCTATTAAAATTGATATATTGATGCTGATTCTGATAATCCATTAAATAATTAAAGATGCCACGGAACCAAAAAAGGGTAACAAAAAATACTTTTTAAAATATACACTTTGAAGTCTGTGGCATTTATATGTGCATGTTCATCTGTGGAGTTTATTATAAATGTAGTATTAGTACTTGTTTTTATCTCCTGGATGTTTAGTAGGACTCAAGGATGATCTCTGAGCGTTGACTGGGTAGCTCATTTGGTACAAGTGTTGTTGTGATTCGTTAAGGTTGTGGGTTCAATCCGCGGTCAGAGCACATACAAGAATCAATCAGTGAATACATAAATGAATAAAACAACAAATCAATGTTTCTCTCTCTTTCTCTCTCATCAATAAAAAATAAATAGAGTGATCTACGAGCAGGAATGGAAGGCATGCTTAATTAACCTAGAATGTGAAAGGGAATCTTGTCCAGGAGAAATGGTATAGAGCTGGAACCAGAAACACAAAATTATAGCAACACAAATCAGAGGTAGAAAGTTGTCTAAAATAGAGGAAATTGAAACTGAGGGCATGAAACAAACTCAGTAAAAAGAAATGTATAAAAACATTTTAAAAAGTAAATAAGACAAGTAATTTTATTACTCTTTGAGACTAATTCTAGAAAATTAACCCTAAATGAAGATAGGTCCATAAAGAGAAGAATAAAATACTCAATTCATGATACAACTAGAATTATGTTGAGAACATGCTTATTGCAATGATGACTTGAGAAAGAAGTCATTTAAAATGGGAAGTAGCTATCCAAAGGGATAAAAACTATAGATCCCTTATGAAAATAGACACAAACCAAATGCAGAAACATATAAAAAGGATTATATACCATGAACATGTGAAATTTATCCTTGGAATGAAAGACTGGTTCAACATATAAAACTCAATCAGTGAAACCCACCATAATAATAAATAGTACTTGACCTTTATTCTAATAACAAAATAATTATCTCAATAGATGTAAAAAAAAGCATTTGACAAAATCCAATACTCTTTCATGTTTCAAAAAAACACTCAATAAATTAGGAATATAAGCATACTCCTCAACCTGGTAAAATGTATTTACAAATACCCATAGATAGCATCTTACTTAATGGAGAAAGACTAAATACTTTCCCTCCAAGTTCAGGAATAAGACAAAGATGTCTGCTCTTGCCACTTTTATTCAACACTGTACTGAAGGTCTAATCAGGACAATTTGGCAACAAAAAAGAAAAAGTATTTATTTAGGAAAAAAGGAGGTAAAACTATCTCCATTTGAAGATAACACAGCTTTGGATATAGGTCATGGAATCCATTGAAAAAACTACTAGAACTAACAAGTGAGTTCAGCAAAATTGCAGAATAAAAAGATCAATATGTAACAAGGGAGGCAGAATTAAAGTTGGAACAAAATTGTTTTGACCAAGACATAATGATACATGAGAAACTATTTCTCAAAGTTCATTTTTTTGGAAATAGTAAAGATAAACAGAAAAAGTAAGTAATCCCATCATATAACTAACAAGTGGTGAAACTAGAAATAAAAGATACTTTGCTATGTGATATTAAAAGTTGCCCAGTATCTATAGCAAATGTTGAATTGTAATTTAAAGAGGATATTTTAAGTGTCACTTATTTAAAAAAATATATTTTAATTGATTTCAGAGAGGAAGGGAGAGGAAACATCAATGATTACAGAGAATCACTAATAGGCTGCCTCCTGAAACCTAAACATATGCCCTGACCAGGAATCGAACTGTGACCTCCTGTTCACAGACCGATGCTCAACCACTAAACTACATTGCCTGGATGAAATGTCACTTATTTATACCAGTTAATAAAAAACTTTTAGATTAGAAAGAGAATGAAGTATTAAACAAATATGATGATATAAAATACATCACCAGTCAAACAAATAACAGCTTTACAATTAAAAAATGGAAAACAAAATTAGGTGTGGAGCAAAGTAGGGTTGTTTTTGGTAAAAGCCTTCTAATGTTTTGTTTTATTAGTTTTTGCACATGTATTGTTTTGATTATAATAACGTCAGGAAAACAAATTAAAAGAGTCATTACCTGTCCAAGCTCTTCATTCAGATCAGAAGTATTGACTAGAGCTTTCTGATCTGATTCTTCATGATAGAGATCAAGATCCCAACCAATAAAAAATGATCCAAGAAATTTCTGCATTTCGACTGTCACGTATAATGAAATTGGAATGATGAAATTGTAGAGTACCAAAAAGGCAAGGAAGTCTGAAATAAATCTCAAAATCTAGAGGGGAAAAAAAGATTATTTGATAAGTGAAAATATGAAACTATCTTCAGTATTACTGCAGAAAAATTATCACAAAGTTTCATGTTTAAACCGACTAATAACTATATTTTGAAGCAGAACAGTCTCATGGTTTAAAATTCATTTATTGAGTTGTCTTTTTATCACATTTCCTCGGTAGTTTTATTGCTCATTAGACTCTCAAACAAAACAAAAAAAAAAGAAAGAAAAAAAAGATTAGATTCAAATTATTGAAATATGTTACTTTTCAGAAGCTACCAAAAACCTGGTGTGACTGAAACTGCTTTGGGCAAAATTTTAATTATAAGCTCTGGAATATGCTTACCATTCTACTTTTACTCTTCAAAATTACAGATAACTAAAAATTGAGTGTACTTTTTAAAAATTATAAAATTGGTAGACTGGAACTGGTAGGATTTAAAACTCTTAAATTACAGATTTCACAGAAATAGCCCACTTCAATGACATAGTAGCACCACATTTAACATGCATTCTGTGAAAGGTCCTGAAAATATGTTCCTGAGATTATCTGCTTTGTGGTCTCTTGAGACCCAAATTTGTATTCAGTATTTGTATTTTAATCTAAAATGAAATTTGGAGAACAATTATTTACCCAAATTGTAAGTTAAATTCTCTTGATAGTCCATATTTAATCAGTTTGAAACTTTATATGACATAAACTGTGTTATCAACTTCATTCTATTACAGAATGACAATAAGATTTCTTGAATTATTCTGACAGAATTGAAAATAAATCAAGTTACTCTTTATTTCACTTATAAGATACAGAAATGAAAAAATGAATTTGTAGTATTCAAGTGGAAGCTAATACAGATTTAAATCTTTGTGATCTCTTGTAACTATTCAAATTATGACATAAAAATATAATTGTCCTAAAATGCTAAATTATACCAGTACATACAGGCTGGCTACCCTTCTCTTGCAATGTCATTTGTCTTTGTTTTATCATCTACTGTGATTCTTTTATTTTAATTAGTTTAATTTCAATATTTTGTATTGGTTTCAGGTGTGCAATGTCCTTTTGTCATCTTCCAATAGTAATGGTTTTAGGAAGATCAGAGTGGTCATTCCTATCAGAAGTTTCCTTTACAGCAGCAGAGTCAAGAACAGAATAAAATACCTTACTACTATTTCTCTGATGTTCTGTTTTTTGGTTATACCAAGGTTCATCCCATTTTTCTTCAGTTTGCCATGTGTATTTCAAGATAGTACTGATGATGGCTTCAGAAATAAGGATTATTAGATAAATTATCAAAAATGTATTCATTGACCTAAAATGAGAAAGAATATAAAACATATCAATTATATGCTACCTTTTAAAAAACTTAATTTTCCTACTGTTTCCTATTATCAATATATAGATACTAGAGGCCTAGTGCACAAAAATAGGGTCCTTCGGCCTGGCCAGTAATGAGGGCCCATTTGTGGGGCGACTTGTGGGGCGAAGGGGGGCAGGGCGGCTGCTGGCACTCACCTTGGCTAGCCTGGCACTGCCCACTAACCAACCCTGCCCCTGCTGGCACCTGCATTGAGCGTCTGTACCCTGGTGGTTAGTGTGCGTCATACCTACTGGCAGGTCGGCTGGTCACTTAGCCTTTTAGATAGATAGATAGATAGATAGATAGATAGATAGATAGATAGATAGATATAGATAAGCTTTGCAAATATTTTCTCTTACTCTATGGCTTATCTTTTTTCATTTTTCTAACAGTGTCTTTTCAAATGCATAAGTTTTTAATTTTTACAAAATTTAATTATCAATTTAGGGCTTTGTTTTTTGTTCCTTTTTTTTTTTTTTGTATATTTCCTATCTAAGAAATCTTTCCTTAATCCAAGGTCACAAATACTTTCTCCCATGTTTTACAAATTTAGCTCTTATATTTTAACTTTACATTTGGAGTTAATTTTATATATGGTGGGAGGAAGGGGTCATGGGTCAGTTTACAGAAAATAGATGTCGAAATGTTCCAGCACCATATATTGAAAGACTCACTATACTTTTGTGTGGAGATATTTTTTACAATAAATTATAAGTCTTTGATAGATAAAAGGTGGTTTAGATTTTCTGTTTTATCCTGTGTCAATTTCTGGAAGTTGTGTTTTCAAAGAATTTGCAATTTCATCAAGGAAAATTTAGAGACATAAAAGTTGCTTATATTTGTTTGTGGATACAGTGACCACAGTAGGTAAGATCTTTAGTGATAGCGTCTCTTTCATCCCTAATATTGGTAATTTTCCAGTTTATCTCTCCTACAACTCTTCCCGCCCCTGCCGCCGCCCCAATCCCTCAATGTAGAAAAGAACCAACTTTTGGCTTTGCTAATTTTATCTATTATTTGTTTTCTATTCTATTGATTTCAACTTATATCCTCAATATTTCTTCTCTTCTCAGATTGGGTCTAATAGCGCCTCTTTATCTAGCTTTTTAAGGTAGAAATTTAGATGACTGATTTTAACTTTTTCTTCTTTTAAACTTTTATTGCTAGGAATTTTCCTCTAACCTAAGCTTTTGCCTTTCTGTTGTTGTTTTTTGGGTGTGTGTGTATGTGTGTGAAATTTTAGAAATTTTCAGTTATTTCCTCAAATATATTTATTCTGTTCCTTTTATCTCCTCTTTTTCAGGGATCTTGATTATACTTATGCTAGACAGCTTAATACTGCGCCAAATGGCTCTAAAACTGTTCATATTTCTCTGTTGTTCAGATGGAATAATTTCTGTTGCTCTTTGAAGTTCACTGATAATTTCTTCTTTTTTCAACCTGGTATAGAACCCTTCTAATAACATTTACATTTCAATTATTATGTTTTTCAAATAAAGAATTTCCACTGAGTTCTTTTTTTTCTAGTTTTCATTTCTCTGCTGAGATTTCTCTTATGTTCATTGACATGTGCTTTAGACTTTTAAAACTATCCTATCTAATAAAGAGGGAATATACTAATTGACCCTCATGCCATCACAAAGATGGTAGTGCCCACAGCCAATAAGGAGGGAATAAGCTAATTGACTGCCCGACCCTCAAAGATGGCAGCACCTACAGTCAATAAGGAGGGAATATGTTGACTGCCATACGCCCAAAGATGGCTGTGCCCACAGCCACAAGATGGCGATGCCCAGCCCCTCAGCTGCCCAGGGCCAGCCCAAAGCCCAGGCAAGCACTGATGGTGGCTGCCCAGCTGACACCAGAGGCGCAGGCAAGCCTTGAATGATGGCTGACCAATCACCCAGGGCCACCCAAGGCTCAAGTAACCAGGGCCGGCCAAGGCTTGTGCTGCCAGCAGTGGCAGCAGCAGAGATGTGATGGGGGCGTTGCCTTCCCCTGATCGCAGGGTCGCCTCTCGCCCCTGAGGGCTCCTAGACTGTGAGAGGGGTCAGGCTGGGCTGAGGGACCCCTTCTCCAGTGCACTGGGCCTCTAGTTTATAATATATATTTTAAAATCTTTGCTAATTGCAATATCATTTATGGAGGCAGTTTCAACTGAGCACTTTTTCTATTTAGAACAAGTTATGTTTTCTTCACGTCTGCTTATTTTTTGATTGCATAGTGTATCTGTTCTTTTAGGTTCCTCAAAAAGTGTGGTTTTTAATTTTAACAGAAAGTTAACTTGGCTAGGCTCAAACACCAAACGCTATCTCCACTGCAACAGGCAACAGCAAAATCCTCTGCTCAGATCTTTCAGCTTGCTGATACATACTGTTACTGTTTCATTGTCAAGCCCGCTGAGGTCTCCCCTGCACATGTATAGTTCTAACAGACAGCCAAGGATATGGAAATAATTTATGTGCAGGCTTGAGCTGATTTCCTTCTGTGGGTCCCTCCTGTATAAGATTTTCTCCTTTTTAGATGCTCTTCCCTATCCTCTGACACCTACATCCTGTAAAGACTCGGGCTCTTGGATGCCCTTTGCAGTCCATGAATTTGAGAGTGCCCTCAGGAAAAAAGCTACATTCTTAAATTTTTCCCCTTGATGATACTGTCTTTCAAGAGTACATTCTTTGCCAGTTTCTGTCTCTTTTTGGGCTACTCTCCAGAGCTTTTAAAATTATCATTTATTTTTAAAAAATATTTTGTCCAGATTTTACCACTGTTATCTGCAGGAGGGTTAGTCTGATCAAGTGTTTCCATTATTACCAAATAATATTTAATTTAAAGTTATAATTTGGCATCTGCTATATGTCAAACATTGTATAAAATGCTACATGTATACAAAAATATAAGAAGCCATCCCTATCCTCAAGGATATCATCCTGCGTTGATGTGATATTATACAGGTGTCAAATATTTTTTATACACGAAAAAATTATACACAATGAATTATATACACATCCACAGTCATATTTATGTGCAAATAAATGAAAAGTTTTACTTTTCTACTGCAGATCGCTTCTGTGACTTGCTCTTATAATTTAACGCCATCTTTGTTTCCATTCCAGTATATACAGCAACACCTGCAAAACAAAACAAAATAGTACTTTAAAATAATGCCCTAGCATGCTTCACAAGAAAAATGCACTCACCAGCATGAAAGCATCTGGTAAAAAGCATCATCTGACAGCTGTTAAAATCTGACTTTCTTTTCTTTGAATTTTTTAAAGGCTTTCTGATACTAATTTTAGAAAACTCCAATTACTCAACCTACTGGATAAGGAAGGCATGAAGGTTCTGTTGCTGAGTTATAAATGAGATATAAGAATGAGATATTATTTCAGTTGAAATTGATAGAGAAAAAGGATTTGGGAAAACAAAAATGGCAGGGCAGGCCATTATAGATAGAGCAAACACTGAACAAAGACAGATATGAAAAAGCTCTTTCTGTCTGATGAAACAATAGATTATGATCAGAATTTGAAAACACCTGGATGCCAGAATCTGAACTCCTAGACATAATTTCATAAGCACTGGAGAGATAATATGAAAATCTACCAGAGTAAATAAACACAAGGAATGGGCCATTTAAAAAATTTGTGCCTATGTGAATGCCTATGAAATTAGTGAGAATGACAATATTAATGGGATTAAAACTGGGGAGTGAATGAAATTAGGTAAACCAGCTTTCTAAAGTACTTTGTTGGAATTAGACCTTTGTTTGAATGCTAGCTTTGCCACTTACTAGTTCTGTATCAATGGGCAAGTTATTTAATCTCTGAGTCTCAATTTCTGCACCTTTAGAGTGAAAAAGTATCCTATATAATAAAAGGCTAATATGCAAATTGTTCTCTTGACCAGGAGTTACAAAGAGTTCGACCAGGGGGCATGGCCAGTTGGACAACCACCCCTGATTGGCACCCCCACCTGATCAGGGGTGGAGTCAGCCAGACCCCACCTGTGCACAAATTCGTGCACCAGGCCTCTAGTACCTCATAAAATTGTTGTGTAGTTTGTAAGACAAGTTAGCAAAATGCCTAGAAACAGATAATCAATAAATGTTTACACCCATGCCTAAATATAGTAAGATTTGAGAAGCAGTGTAGGATTCATCATGTCCTCTTCTTAAACATTTGTCCTGGAATTTTCACCATTAAAATTACTGAAATATTCCATAAAGGCAGAAATTATAACTCAAATGGCATCAAAATTATAGAAATCAGCTAGAATTATACAATAGAGAGAGGTGGGTCTGAGGCAAACAATAGCAGACCCATCTAAAGGCATTCAAATACACATCTTTTAAGAGTGTGAAAGGTTTTAAGGCTAGAGAGATGTTTTAAAATACAGCATTACAAGAGAGGGTCTAAAGCTTTGGAGGTTTTCTTTGGCTTTTGCCATAAGAACATTTATTATAGTTTCCTTAAATTGTGGTAAACATACAATTACCATTTTAATCATTTAAAAATGTACAATTCAGTGGTACTTAGTATATTCAGTGTTGTGCAACCATCCCCACTATCTAACATGAGAACATTTTCATCACCCGCAAAGGAAACCCTGTACCTATTAAGCATCATTCCCATTCCCCTCCACTACCCAGCCCATTAATTTACTTTCTGTCTCTATGAATTTGCCTATTCCAGGTACTTCAAGTAAACGGGACCCTACAATATGTGACATTTTGTCCGGGTTCTTTCACTCAGCAAATATTTTCATTTGTTTAATAGTAAATAATTTTCCCTTATGTGGATATCCTACATTTTGTTTGTATATTCATAAGTTGATGAACATTTGGGCAGTTTCTACTGATGATTATAAATAGTGCTATTATGCACATTCTTGTAGAAGTCTTTGTTTAAAGATGTATTTTGAATTCTTTGGGGTACATATCTAGGAGTAGAACTGTTGGGTCATATGGTAATCCTGAATTTAATTTACTAAGAAACTGTCATACTGTTTTCCACAGTGCAATATTTACACTCCTACCAGCAATGTATGAGGGTTCCAATTTCTCCACATCCTTACCAACACTTGTTAGTTTCCATTAAAAAAAAAAAAAGTATATGGACTTCTTTATCAGAGAGCCTAATACTGAGAGATAAGACAGATGAAAGAAGAAAATGAGGAAGAGGACAGACTCCTAAAGCTGCAAACATTCAGTAAATAACATAAGCTGGCTAGTATATGAAGGGCCATTTATGAAGAGGGAAGAACTAATTGACAGCTAAAGATTATCACTGTTTCCACAATTTGCCTAAAATTGACTCAGAGCATAAGTTAATTAATTAATTGATTAATTAGTAAATCTCCAATGCAAGAACATTATTTATTCATCATTTTGATCTAGTCAGTATACATTTTAACAGTACCTGGTATATAGTCATATTAATAAGAATTTGTTGAATTAAAGAATAAGTCAGCAGTTTTATTCATCCAATCCAAGAATAATCATAATAGAATTACACAGGTGGTTTACTATACCATAATGTCAGATTATACTGGTTCTTATCCATCATGAATAGAAAGAATTGCCAAAATTATCTTCTTAGTACTCAGTTTCACAAGTATTAACAAAGAAAATATAAGAGTAAGATTCTAGTCTATTACTCAAAAATAGAGATGAATAACAAACACTACAACCAAAATTATAGTAACACAATTTTTTTAAGAAAATTATCACAGGCAACATGTAACTAAGTAATAAGTTACCCAACACAAATACTGTGCTTTTAAAAATACTTCATAAAGTATGAACATGAACCTATAATTAAAAAGTTTCAACGTATACAAACCAAAAATTTCTTTTGTATTTTTTAATCTGGCTCCACGAAGTAAGAGACTCTCTGGCCCCAGAGGTCTAGAGAAAAACATACACACACACACACAAAAAACACAAACCAAAAGCATTAAATATATTAAACACTTAATTAAATTCTAAAATGGCATCTTTAGCAGAAAGTACTTGAGTTATAATTACAACACTGTTTTTACATATTGTAGAACCAAAATCTTAGCTACTATTTAGGTATATCATAATGTTAGTTACTATAACAAAAACACCTGCGTTAGCATTTCAGTTACTTTAAGATAGGTGGCTCAGAAATAAGATTATGCTGGTACATAAACTCAAAGCCACCAGACCAGTTGCTAAAATTTTAAACATAAAACACAAATAAAAGATTAAGTAATGATTTTTTAAGTGTTTAATAGAGGACAAAAATTTTGAGCAAAATTAATAAACAGTTTTCAAAGAAAAGAAAGAATTAAAATGCAACGTAAATAAGAATTGTAGCATGGTCTGTGTGTAAATGTATGAGTTCTGCACAATTAAAATTACTTTGGATTATAAAACATCATGTAGTAAGTGAGTTAGTACTTTTGTAGGCAAGATTGACACTACAACTTTACTACTTGCATTGCAAACTTCTTGGAGCTCAGGTCTTCTTGCTGTTTGAATTTCTCTCCATAAAGGAGATATAAAATGAGAAGGAATAACTAGAAAGGAAATTGTACTTTTTTAGTGATAGCAAAATGATAAGACTGTTATGGATAAGTTAAAAGTCTTAATTTTATTGAGATTCCTTATGCTTTTCTGAAACATACATATACAGTCATCCAAATCAAACAGAATCGGAACTAAGATGTCTACAAACCCAAACACTCTAAAAAAATCAATGAACCAAGGAGGACCAGGCGTTTGGGACATGGCTAACAAGTATGGTTTTACTATTGAATCATATTTGGAGCACACTACATGGATATTCCAAAATCTATTAACCAGAAGCCATAAAATAGCTCCTTTTCACATGGTATTGTTTATAACAAAGAATGGAAAAATTTTGCGCTTACACTGGCATATACATTTGGGATATAATGATAGAAAGCTTTGAATTAAAAGGTAGTTCATCAGCAAAATCTGGTTGCTTCAGCAAAGACCATGGCTAAAGAGTTCATTGAACATGCTCCTGTGTTATTGTTTATTAAAAATGTGAATTAGTGCTGATGCATGATAGTTTTGGTGGCTTGACCCCAGAATTTATTTTAAGAAATGCTCAACTGTCAGTGACTGATTTCAAGCAGCCAGTTCAACTGAATGTCTCCAGAAAAAAAGGTGAAAGATTAATTTGATTTAGAAGTTCAAGGGATAATTCCAAGATTTATTTTAAATTTGGCTTTGTGGTCATGAGTAACAATGTAATCTCATCCTATTAGCAAATCTTTGAAATGAGCCCACATCCTTTCATGCAGCAGCTAGAAATTAACCTTAATATAGCCGCAGTGTTTCCCAAAGTGTGGTATGCATACCCCCAGGGGTACGGGAAGAGTTTGGTGGGGATATGCACTGCACAGTGCTTCGTTGCGCCTAATTCTACATTCTCATGAGTACGAGGGGTACTCAGCGTTACGAAAATTATAGAAGGGGTACACATATGTCAAAAGTTTGGGAAACACTGAGAGGGAAAACAAAATAATCAACCAAACAAAAAACCAATCAGAAGAGTAAATAAGAGGTTCTAGATTGGCCACCAAGTACTCTAGTTTGTGTTAAATTATTTTGAAATGAAGAAGACTGTATCACATACTTTTTAAACATTATAGAAAACATTTCTTGTATTCCAGACTTTAAGTGGTGGGTAAGAATTTGAATAAGAATGTTTATATTTCCTTTTATGTTACTACCTGATATTAGAAAAAATACAAGTATATAAATAATCTTACTAAATTATTTTGATATTATTTTATAAAATTTGCTTCGCTCTCACTTATTGCTGCTATAAATAACTAAAAGATGAAGTGCTAAGTGCTTTCACGTGAACCCTTTTACATTATATAAAGCTTACTTATCTAATATTTTTTTAAGTTAATTTTAGTCCCTCCCCCATATAATATGATTTTGTTCTTACCTTACAATTTCTTCCATTTGTTGGGTTATTATCATTCGTCCCATGAATCTATCAAAGAATTCACCATGTTACCAAAAAATTGCATTTTCAGAAATGCTCAACTCTGAAGATATGTTACTTATGTCATCATAGATGGAAAACCTTAGAGACTTTTGACACTATTCTTATACATGAAACAAACCAACCTTTTATTTCTATGAATGTTCCAATAATCATGTTAGAAATTATAAAAATAAATATTTATCAGTCAATAAGCTCTAACAATTCTTGCCATCCCACTCCAGCTATAAATGAGGTAATGAATGTAAAAATGTTTTCAAAATGGTGATACAAATGTTATATGTTATTACCATTATTAATTTTATCATCATGAGAATTTATATTTGCTACACAAGTATACATTTAGCCAACAATGAATACTCACATATTTCATCAGTTTATTAAATAAGCTTCCTGTGATTAGAATCATTCATTTACTTATTCATGCATTCATTCATCCAACAAATATTCATTGAGCAACTACTACGTGTGAATTAAGTTGTGGGAATAGAGTAGTAAGCAAAAACCTATCAGTGAACTCCAGAGCTTCTAGAATAAGTGACTTGCTATCAATAAATTTTCATAACCTGGCCTTTCAGATCCAAATTCCACTACTTAAACAGCTCCATATCACAGAGTCGATTCAAATGAACAATTATTTTCTACTACATTGAGAAGTAAATTTTGAGTTGAAGCAAATTCTAGACAGAGCTTATGTTAATCATTTAACTAGGGAAAAGAAATATTAAGCATTCCCTTTCCAATGTCTCCTATTATTTCTCCTGTTTCCAGGTCACAGATGCTTTATCCCTTGGCTTCATTGTTTTTTGCTAATCTCTTACTTCTGCTTCCTTCAACTGTCTGTATCAAGGAAATGCACTGCTGTTTTTCTTTTTTAATCTCCACTTAGTGAATTTTATGTATTCTTGTTTCCAACCTCAACTTTGGATTTAGATGTAAAGAACCAATTCAGCTGTTGTTTCCCTGAGCATCTTTCAGAGATGATGAAGACCATTCTTTTGATTTTCTTGAGCTAAATTCCAATAAGAGTCTAAAAAATTAAGAACAACTATGGCTGCTTTTGTGAGAACAGACTGCAAGGGAAAGAAAGGGGAAAACTGGTAAGAATAGTAGTAAGCCAGATAGGAGATTATGCTGACTCATAATAAATTAGTAGCAGTGAAATGAGTAAAAGATGGTCAAATTTTGGATATATTTTGGATAAGATGTTCTGATGGATTGGGATGAGATGTGGGAGAGGAGGTGAAGAGAGGTTAGCAGAGAGGGAATGTGACTCCAAGAGGTTTTGGCCTGAAGAATTGGAAGGAGAGACTGTCATCAACTAAGGTAAGGAAAGACAGTGGCATAAAAAGTTTTGGAGGGAAAATTAGCTCAGTTCTCATCATGATTAATTTGAGATTTCTACTAAATTTCTAAGTAGAACTGTAGAACATGAACTTGGATATAACAGTCGGGAATTTTGGAAAAGACATCTTGAATGGAGACATAAATCTGAGAGTTAACATGTAGATGATCTTTAAAGCCATCATGTTGGATGCAATCACCAAAGGAGTGAGTGTAGATAGTGAAAAGTATAGGTAGGGAAGGGAAGAGAACCAAGGGCAGTCCTGGGGCACTCTAACATCAAGCAGTCAAGGGAGAAGAGAACTCAGCAATGAGAATGAAAGGAGAGACTATTAAAGTAGCAGAAAAACCAAGAGAGGAGAATATCCTGGGAGCCAAGTGAACTAATTATATCAAAAAAGAGAAGCAATGAATTATCTAGCTTCTGTATTTTGAATTGATGAACTTATTTGTAACAAGGCGCCATGCAATGTTTGTAATAGCAAAACAGAGGAAGAGTTAAGTATTGAAAAATTACGGTAGGTACTGGTTAGGTAATAGTATATGCACTTAGACTATTATATAGCCATTAGAAATGATCATTAAGAATACTGTATAGCCGAAACCGGTTTGGCTCAATGGATAGAGCGTCAGCTTGGGGACTGAAAGGTCCTGGGTTCGATTCCGGTCAAGGGCATGTACCTTGGTTACAGGCACATCCCCAGTAGGGGTTGTGCAAGAGGCAGCTGATCGATGACTCTCTCTCATCAATGTTCCTAACTCTCTATCCTCTCCCTTCCTCTCTGTACAAAATCAATAAAAATAAAAAAATTTAAAAAAAGAATACTGTACAGACAAGTCAATAGGGGGGAAAGGAAACATGTGTAATACTTTCAATAATAAAAATTTAAAAAAAATACTGTACAGTAAAATGGAAAATACTTTTTAAATTACAAAAGCATTCCACATTCTTTTAAGAAATATTAGAACCTATGGAGAACAAAAATAAGTAAATAAAAGCAGCTGTAATCGTATCACTAAGAAATACCTACTAACATTTTGACATGCAATTCCTCCAGAATTTTCTCATTGTACTTATCTATTCTTCTATCTTGCCATTTAACTATCTATCAAGTACACAGAAATATGTAATTGGGATTATGAGAGCTACAACTCTATCTTATTTAACATTATATTTCAGTATGTTCTTATGTCATTAAGTTCTTTGAAAATATTTTTATAATCTACATATTTCCCTCTTATATAACTGTACCATGAACCCATCTAAGCATTCTCCTACTTGGACACTTAAAACACTTTCAATATTCCCCGTATATGTAGCATATAGAAAAGTGAAAAAATACAATTTTATATATATAAATACAATGTCTTTACAGCTATGAGTTCCTCAAGGATAGAAACCATGCTGATTCATCTTATTTCCCACTCACCATAATGAACAGACAGGTGCTCAACAATAAGTTGCTGAATGAATAAATACAAATAGCAATAAATGTGAGTTATCTTTCTATTACAAAAGTGTTCTGTAGTAGTTACATATATATTTAAAAATATACATATACTTTCACTATGGAAAAGGGAAAGATAAAATAAAGAGAAACACCTTATATTTAACAGTTAATTATTTCCTATTAAAAAATGTTTTAATTTTTTCCACATTTTCCAAGATAATATAAAAACTACTCATAATCACATTAGTGATACTTGATCTCATATTAATTTTATGCCTGCTTAATGCTCAATTTCATATAATGTTTTTATAACACCATTTTTTGAGACAAGGAAATAACAGCAATAAAGAAATCTTAAAGTACTAAATTCTTCACAGTTAAATTTCATAGTTTAAACTCTTAAAGCATAGGATAGCAAATTTTTAGCTAATCAGAAAGTTCTGTACTTCATTTGACTATAATGAAACCACAAAATTATATAACATCACATAGAAAACTCCATTATAAATAATATATGGATTCAAAACAAATTATGTAAGAGATTATTCTAGAAAAGCAAATGACTAATAAGATATGACTATTTGAACCAATAGAGGGAGACATTATATGAGAAGAAGCTGAGCGTCAATTTTACAATGTGGTTGTAATTTATATGCAATCACCAGTTACTGAGTAAAAATGAGTTTATTAGGTCTAGTAATAATTAATGTCGTTTTCTAATACTTTTTAAAATCAAATTTATTTAAACAATACAACAAAATTTAATCAACAATATAGTTGCCGTTGTTTTCTACTACTTGAGCCCAACGCTCAGGAAGCATTTTAATCCCTCTGTTGTAAAATTCTTGTGATTTTGATGCAAAAAATTCGGTCAATGCATTTTTGAGGCATTCTTCATTATTACATTTTTTTCCAAGAAGAAAGTTTTGCAAAGAACGAAACAAATGGTAATCGGAAGGGGCAATATCAGGAGAATATGCAGGTTGAGGGAGAACTTCCCATTCCAACTGGCGCAGTTTTTCAGCAGTGATTCTTGCAGTATGCGGTCGTGCGTTATCGTGGTGAAGAATTACGCCCTTCCGATTAATCAGCGCGGGTTCTTTTTCTCTTAAAGCTTGGGCTAACCTTTCCAATTGGGCACTATACACTGCACTTGTAATGGTTTGGTTAGATGGTAAAAGTTCATAATGAAGAATTCCTTTAAAATTCCACCAAACACACAACATCACTTTTTTCGCATGCAAGTCAGGTTTTGGCGTGGGCTACGGAGCCTCATTTTTGTCCAACCATTGAAGTCGCCTTTTCAAATTAACATACAGCACCCATTTTTCATCTCCGGTAACAATTTGCTCTAAAAACGGCAAACGGTTTTGACGAGAGAGGAGCGAACTGCAAATTGTGACTCTCTGATTACAGTTGTTGTCGGTCAACTCATGAGGAACCCATTTTCCAAACTTTTGGACTTTGCCAAGTGCACGCAATTGATTGGAAATTGTTTTTTGTGAACAATTTAAAGTTGTCGCAAGCTCTTGTTGGGTAATTTGAGGATTTTGCACCAAAAGAGCTTGAAGAGCTTCTTGATCAAAATTGGACACAAGGCCTCGACCACTCTTGTCATCTAACGAAAAATTTCCCTCGCGAAATTTCTCAAACCAACGCTGGCATTTTCTGGTGCTAACTGCATCTTGACCAAGAGCACTACAGATGTTTTTTGCAGCCTCACTTGCTTTTCTTCCTAATTGGAACTCGTAAAGCATGCAGTGCCGAATATGCTCTTCATCCACCATCTTCTTAGCACTAGTTTTGTAACAAAAACCAAACACAAACTTTTTCAAGCAAAACTTGTTAATTGCACTTCACACGTTCTGTAGATACCACGTGTTTGAAGGTTATGTCAATACAAGTCAACGCCAAGCAAGATTTTAAACGAATGTTTAAAAACGACATTAATTATTACTAGACCCGATAGTATATCACTTTCATAATAAAAAGTTGTTCCTATTTCTCAGTCCACAATAATTAGTATATCATTAGAAGATGACTTACATTGTATTTAGTAAATCACAACATTAAAAGGAATTCATTCCAAGTGAACACAAAGACAGAGCTCTTGCCTTCATGGAGTACGTATATACACAAAGTTACTTTTGTCTAACAAAATAATCTTACTTCTCCCTAGCCAGTATGGCTCAGTGGATAGAGCACTGGCCTTTGGACTAACGGGTGCCAGGTTTGATTACAGTAAAGGGCACATACCTCAGTTGCAGGCTCCCCAGCCCTGGCCTTTGTTGGGGCTTGAGCAGGAGGCAACCAATCAATGTGTTTCTCTCACATCGATATTTCTCTTTCCCTCTCTCTAAAAAATCAATGAAAAAATATTCATAGATGAGGATCAAAAAATAATAATAATCGTACTTCCCTTATAACTACCATTATAGATATAAAGTTTCCTATAATGGTGATAAAGCCAGTTCATTTAGAAATAGAAAGTAATGGAAAGAAACGTCTGAATAAAAGAGCATGATTTTTTTAATTAATATTTTGGATTAGAATTCTGGCAAATTCTGCTTTAGCCTTTTTTCCCTTTAATGTTTCTCTCCATTACCTCCTCTTCAATAATGTCTTTGATTAGCTAAAGATTTCATTGTATGTTTATGATGGTAAAAAAGAGGTCTGTGAACAGGACTTATGAGTAGGTTGACTATCACACCATACCTGTACAAGTCTGCTTCTGGTTGCTGACATTCTATCACAGCTACAAGAGTGTCCAACTTAGCAACTGTTCGTAATACTGCTGTTTCTGGAACTGTCACATGAGTCTAAAAAAACACACACAAGGATTAAACTGTAGTTTCAAGATCTAAATGGGACCCTACAATCAACTATCGATATTTCTTTTTTAAAAAATAATTTGTTTTTCAATTACAAAAGACATACAACATTATCCTATCTAATAAAAGAATATGCAAATTGACAATACCTCCGCTATGCCCACCAGCCACACCCATCAGCCAATCAGAGCAACTATGCAAATTAACCCTAACCAAGATGGCTGCAGCCACGGAGAGCAGGAGGGAGGCTTGGGTTTCCCTGGCAATGGAGGAAGCCAAGCTTTCTGCACACCCTGGCTGTCCCAGGCCTCTGCTTAAGGCTACAAAGTTTCAATTACATAAGATACATAACTTTCAACAGAAATGGCTGCCACTACTGAGAGAGCATAAGGCTTGGCTCTGCTCCAAACTACAAAGTTTCAATTTAGAAGATAAATAAATTCCAGGAACCAGGGCCTCCCCTTAGGTCGCCAGGGTAAGTGGCTGGCCTGAAAACCACGACAGGCCCCTCATCCAGGCCATTCCAGGCCTCATAGGAAACCCCACCCTGATCTGAGATACCTTTCAGGGCAAACCAACTGGCCCCTACCCATGCACCAGGCCTCTATCCTATCTAATCAAAGAGTAATATGCAGATTGACCATTACTCCAACACACAAGATGGCTGCCCCCATGAGGTCAAAGATCCTGCCCCCATGAGGACACAAGATGGCCAGCAGGGGAGGGAAGTTGGGAGGGACCAGGCCTGTAAGAGAGGGCAGTTGGGGGTTATCAACCCTGTAGGGGAGGGGAATTAGGGGTGACCAGGCCAGCAGAGGAAGACACCAATCAGGCTGACACAGGAGTGGTTAGAGAGTGATCAGGCTGGTAGTTAGCAGTTAGGGGCAATCAGGAAGGTAGGCAGGTGAGTTGTTGCCGGAGAGCAGTCCTGGATTGTGAGAGGGATCCCAGATTGGAGGGTGCAGGCTGGGCTGAGGGACACATACCCCCATGCACAAATTTTGTGCACCAGGCCTCTAGTCCTATATAATAAAAGGGTAATACTACGCAAATTGACCCTAATGGCAGAACGACCGGGAACATCTGGTCGCTATGACATGTACTGACCACCAGGGGGCAGATGCTCAACGCAGGAGCTGCCCCCTGGTGGCCATTATACTCCCATAGGGGGAGCTCTGCTCAGCCACAAGCCTGGCAGATGGCTATGAATACAGCAGTAGTGGAAGGAGCCTTTCCCGCATCCCCAGCAGCACTAAGTATGTCCATGTGTGGCTTAGGGGTTCCAGACTGCGAGAAGCAGCAGGCTGGGCGGAGGACAAATTTCTATGCACTGGGCCTCTAGTCTATATAAAAAAGAGTCAGGGTCGTAACGACTATTATGACAGAAGGCTCGAGCAGATTGATTGGGGCCCCGACCCAGCACTGACTGCCTATGTGCTGCAGATCAGGCCAGGAGACAGGCCTGCAAAAAGAGAGGCAGGGTCTGACCCATAGCCTTTGTGGCAGCTGTTGATCTGAACTTGCCTCTCTTTCTCTCCTGGCCTTGCCAAGAGCCATGCCTCCATTTCTCTCCAGGCCTCCACTGGAGCTGATCAGCCCCACCTTTCTGATCAGGCCCTGTTGATAGGCCCAGAAATGCTGACTGACATACAAACTGACCAATCAGAACCAAATCTGGGTCAACTGTGAGGAACCAAATTGGCCGGCAAAGGAGAGCAGTTGGGGTGAGATCAGGCTGGCAGGGGAGGGCAGTTGGGGGTGAAATCAGTCTGGCAGGAGAGGGCAGTTAGGGGTGATCAGGCAGGCAGAGGCAATTAGGGCCAATCATGCCAGAAGGGGAGAGCAGTTAGGGGCAAGATCAGCTTGGCAGGGGTGGGCAGTTATGGGTGAGATCAGACCAGCAGGGGAGGGCAGTTAGGGGTGATCAGGCAGGCAGAGGCAGTTGAGGGTGAGATCAGGCAGGCAGGGGAGAGCACTTGGGGGCTTGATCAGACTGGCAGGGGAAGGCAGGCAGAGGCAGTTAGGAGTGATGAGGAAGGCAGGCAGAGAGGTTAGGGGCAATCAGGCAGGGCAGGCAGGTGAGTGGTTAGAAGCCAGTGGTTCCAGACTGTGAGAAGGGTGTCCAACCACCAGTTTAGGCCTGATCCCACAGGACCCTAAAACAGTAGTCGGACACCCTCGAGGGGTACCCGAATGGAATGGATGGAGGCTGGGCTGAGGGATGCCCCCCTCTAGTATAGATTATAATATAATCAGGTGTACAACCGTGATTAGACATCTATATAACTTACTAAGTGACCCCCCTCGATAAATCCAGCAACCATCTGACACCATATATATATTTTCCCTATGCTGTACTTTACATCCCCATCTATTTCAAATGTCCCTATCTAAAAAAAGTACCAAAATATTAAAATATTTTATTTTTCTAACAACACTTCCCATTTCTCTATATCTTGACCAAACCATGTGAGGCTCCCCTTGAAATAAATATATAACATTACTTCTTTAAAAAAAAAACTTAGTAATTCTTAAAATTTTCAGTAATTTAAAAATATTTCTCCTTTATCAAGTCAAACTTTATTCCTTGAACCAAAGGAAAATATCGCTATAATCCAAAGACATTTTATACACATACAAACCTTTAGGTTCGTTTCTCCATCCAAACTAGCAGTTGTAACGTGACAAGAACCATCAGGTCGATCTGAGGACAGAAGCACCAAATCTGCAGGGAAAATTTCATCTTTGGCTACTCGAACAATATCACCCACCTATGAAGAATTTTGGGGAGAGTGAATATACCAATTTTAAAAGGCAAGGACTTATTTGAGTTCTAAACAAGTAGTCTATCAAAATATTTTAATGTAGAAAAGCAGGCTTTCAGTTAAATATAATCAGATTAAAGTTTATGATATCAAAATATAATTGACATACATTATTTACTAAACGCATACCCGGATGTTTTTTGATCTCGTTTTTACAAGGCCACCACTTCGAACAACATAAACAGGAGCTCCATTTACTTCATTATCTGAGTTATGTCGTAACCAATCTTCATACCCCTATAAATATCAAAAGAATAAAAGTGCCCTTTTCAGTATAATTAGAAGATATATATTCAAGAATTCAGAGGTATAACACAAGATAACAAAATGACATCTGATAGCATTAAGTGATAAAAGTAAAGTACAGAATGTGTTGTGTTCTATGAGATCATTTGTTGGGGAAGGGGGGGGGAATGCTTGCCTCTGAAAACACTCTATATTAATATCTGGACTAACGTACAAATAATGGCTCTCTCAGGGGAGAAGAACCAGGAGACGGGAAGGGGAGGAGTTTTAGGAGTATAAGTGTCTTTTATAATATTTTACGATATTTCTGGTCACTAGAAATAAAATGGTTTACAAAACAAAGTATCTGCCCTCACAGATCTGAGCATTCAAATGGAGGCAACAGACAAACTAATAAACATTTACTCAATAGAAACAGGTAGCATCAAATGATAGGAAGAAAAAAGACCAGATCAGAAAATGAGAGAATGACATGTTGGTCAGGAAAAGCCCAAGCTATCCAAGTGGAAAAGTTGCACAATTGTACATGAGTGTCAGAGTTCAGGCAATAATTTCAGGATACATATATATTTGGAACCATCCTATATAATAAAGTGGTAATATGCAAAATGACCCTAATGGCAGAACGACCAGTCACTATGAGATGCACTGACCACCTCTTGGTTCCTTTCCCTGGCGGACAGACTCCCGCAGTGGGGGTGGACCGGTGAGCAGGCGGGAACAGCTGACCTCTCGGTCCCTTCCCCCAGCTATCAGGCACCGTACTCGATGGCGAACATGGGGAATCGGGTGGGTGGTGGTGGGGAGTGGGATGGGCTGCAAACAGCCGGGGAAGATGGCCCTGATCGCAGGCTAAGCCTAGGGACCAGACCCGTGCACGATTTAAGGTACCATATAAATGGTGCTTTAAACTACTACAATGGATGAAATTACCCAAGAGGGAACTACATATAGAAAATAGGTCCAAGGGACAAATATGTGTAACTCTGATGAAATAAATGACATCTGAAAAACTAAGTAAATATGTGACCATATGAAGTGATTTGGATGCTGACTAACAGTTTCCAAAAGAACAATGAAGAAAGGAAAATCAAACAGTGAGAGCAGTAGCATGATATTCTGACATACTAGATATATAATTGTTAAAATATACTATACTCCAGAATTACAAAGTGTTTGTCAATTTCACTTCCAAGCAATTTAAACCTTATCCCTAAACCTTATAAAATGAAAATATATAAACTGTCTTTCAAGTGGAAGGAACAATCTCTGTATAACTGAGGCCCTGCCCAGATATTTAATGGTGGTTATAAAGACATGACCTTTCTACAAATTCCTTTATTTTTAACTTGACATGTTCATGCAATAATACTCTTCTATATCTAGAATTTAATACCATTTCAGGATTTGGTTCCAGCTATTTCCCACTAGGGTACAACTTTACATAAAAATCAACTTAACCAGAGAAAATGTAAAAAATAGGAAAGCACTACACAATTTTTATTTAAAACTAGAGATCCTGGGGGGTTGGCGGGGGGGTGGGAGGTGTCCCTTAGCCGGGCCTGTGCCCTCTTGCAGTCTGGGAGCCCTCGGGGAGCAGGCCTACGCTGTCAGTTGGATATCTTAACGCTGCTGCAGAGGCAGGAGACACTGCTGAGCTCTCCTCCGTGAGCCTGGCTCAAGGCTTCTGGCTGAGTGCCACTCCCCCTGTGGGAGTGAACTGACCACCAGGGGGACCTCCTGCATTGAGCATCTGCCTTTCAATGGTCAGTGCACATCATAGCGACAGATCGTTCCGCTATTAACCTTTGATTATATAGGATATAATTTGGTTTATACATATAAAATGCTTGTTTTGAGTTCTTTCTGGGTGTGCCGAGAAAACATTTTAACAATAGTAAACATACTATGAACCACCTGAAATATAATAGAGTGGCTTCACTCAGTTTAATTTTACCATATGCAACATCAAAAGCATTTGCTGCTTTTTTATGGAAATTATTTTCCCAACAATAAATGTTACCTTGGAGTGGACATACTTAGCAACTTGCAAATGACATGGGGAAACAAGAATAGGAAGTAATTCATACCTGCTTTATGGCTGTTACTGTTATCACAAAGAATAATGGAAGTCCACTGGTAATTGGACTGGTAGGTGTATCAATCATAAGCTAGATTAAAATAAAAGAATGCAGAATATTATATTTTTATATTGTACACATCATGCTATTAACATCTTAACTCTCAAACATATAGGAATTCTGAGAACATTATACAAAATGAGTATCATAGACCAGAGTAAAAATAAGAGGGACATATTATACAATGAGGATAATTTAGTTCAGTTTTATGAGTTCACTTTATTGGCTCTTACATGGGGTTAGAATATCTAAACTTACTGGATACCCACTAACATTGTTAGAGCAGACTCTAACAATCTGCCTTCTTTACAGAGAGTACTTCAATTCTTCCTCCATATTTGCCTAGGAGTGTAGCTACAACTCCTCTGAATCTGATTTCACACTTCTTTGCCCATCCTGATAAATGCTGAAGTCTGTCAGTAATTTTTACTCTGGAATTCAGAATAAACACTCTACTTAGGGAGACAGAGCTAGGAATGCGACTAGGAAAAGCGTTTTTCTTACATAAGTGATTTTGTTAAATCTAGCAGAACCAGAGGGTAGAGATAGCTTGGAAAATAATGCTGTAATTATTATCATACAACTGAGGTTTTAAAAACTGCTGGAGAAGAAGTAAAGAAACTTTTGTATTAATTATGCTTGGCTAGTTAGAATATGGCTCTAAATGACTTACTATTAATGTTCTTTTACACCATGGAGGATAATTAAATATGTTCTATTACACAGACAAGCTAAATTCCTGAATTAGCTGGTAATTTCACAAATGCATGTTATGTGGACACAGTTAGTATAAATTTCTCACTTTTCTGAGAAAACCAAGCTGATGTTCTATTGATAAAGAAAAAAAAAAAAATCAGACGTTTCTTCTCTGCTCATGAAGGAAAACAATTTTTAAAAAATAGTATAAAAAGTTCCTCAAGCTTTAAAGTAATAAGTTGGCAAGTGTTTTTTTTCTTTTGAAATTCTAGGTTCTACTGAGAGAAAAGTTCAGAGTTCATACAAAAATTCAATACCACATTGAAAAAGTCTACTAAAGTATTAACAGAAAATTTTTTTTAAATAGTAATAACTATTTTTAAATATTTACTTATACACAAGTTTCATAAGCTATCTCTTGATATTTTGATATTAAGAAAAAAAAGCAATGTGAAATTAAACTATTAAATAGCCTATAATTTATACAGGTTCAAGTTAAGAAAATGGTTTCCTAAACAAAAATCTATTTTCATGGGGATTTTTAAAAGTGAAAAAAAAAATTTGTTTTAAATAAAAAAATGACATTAAAAAAAAGAAAAATTCACTTTGTACTATACGCAAAAGTGTGCCAAAAACATGTGCTGCATATTAAAACGCAAAATATTTATGTTCTGAACAAGCATTTGAAAGAGGATGTTATTTTCTTGGCTTTGATTATGGTTCTCAGCACCACAGCATATCAATAATGAAACAAATAAAATTAATCTTAAAATTCACTGGTTTGGCTCAATGGATAGAGCTTGGGGACTGAAAGGTCCCGGGTTCGATTCCCATCAAGGGCATGTACCTTGGTTGCGGGCATATCCCCAGTAGGGGGTGTGCAAGAGGCAGCTGATCGATGTCTATCTCTCATCCATGTTTCTAACTATCTCTCTCCCTTCCTCTCTGTACAAAATCAATAAAATATATATTTTTTTAAAAATTCACTGGCTAGTTTTTAGAAATTTTGATGTGGTTAAATAATTGTATTCATTAAATATAATGGGAAAGCCTTGCAGAAAAAAAATATGACTCCAAAATCAAACAATTTAGAATGCTATGTAACTTTTCTCTGACAACATATTTTTTTTAATTTTATTTATAAATTTAACTACTGAGTGATAAAGCTTACCTGAACCAAAAATATAATAAGAAAATAAAAATTTGCCACTCTTCTGAATTGTTCAAATAAATTCTTTGGAACAAAATTCCACACAGTGTACTAAAAAAAAAAAGAGAGAGAGAAAGAGAAGACAACAATAAGTTAATGTTTAAAAATAATATACACTCTATAGGTAGAATAATAAAAGTAAAATCCGATTTACTAAGCTCTTAGCCAAATTCATGTAACTCTCTTTAATGATTGAAATTTGTTGGATTTTTCTTTACAGTTTACAAAAAAATAAAACACTTCACAATTTGTGTGCCATACTGATCTCTGTATTGTTCCAATTTCAGTATAATTCTTATACTGAAGCGAGCACTTGTGTAATTCTTATTTTATAGATGTCCCCCATTCCCCTATCCCATTTGCTCCTTTCACCCTGCCCCAAACTACAGAAAGTATCTGATTTTTAGAGTCTACTCTTTTTTCTTTTACTATTTATTGGCAATTTTAATACAATTTTTAAAATGAGGTAAACTGTAACCTAGCAATTTTGCTACTAAATTCTTGAGATTTTAGAAGCTGAAGAAGGCAGATCTAAAACAATACTTAAAAAAAATATATTATTTACGAGCCGTGTGCGCTGAAACCGGTTTGGCTCAGTGGTAGAGCGTCGGTCTGTGGACTGAAAGGTCCCAGGTTCGATTCCAATCAAGGGCATATACACTGGTTTCGGGCACATCCCCGGCAGGGGGGTGTGCAAGAGGCAGCTGGTCGATGTTTCTCTCTCATTGACGTTTCTAGCTCTCTGTCTCTCTCCCTTCCTCTCTGTAAAAAATCAATAAAATATATATATTTTAAAAAAAGTAAGAGATCTTTAAAAAGGAAAAAAAATAGACTTGGTCAGTGTGGCTCAATGGTGAGAGTGTCAGCCCATGCACCAAAGGGTCTCAGGTTCAATTCCAATCAAGGGCACATACCTGGGTATGGAAGGCAACCCATTGATGTGCCTCTCTCACATCAATATTTCTCTCTTTTTCTTCCCCTACTCCTCCCTTCCCCTTGCTCAAAAAATAAATGGAAAAAATATCCTGTTGAGGATTGACAAAAAAATTAAAATAAAAAATACTTTAAATAAGTGATCACTGGCATACCCACAAAGAAAATCTCATAAAGGATATGAAAATCTTTCACAATGTCAATATTTAAAGTAAAACAGTGGAGCATAATGATTAAGACATATATGGTAGGGGGTTTAAATTGTTCTGGTTTACATCCTAATTCAATGTACTAAATGACCTTGTTAATCTCTATAAAAAGAAGACAATAATTATCATATTGTATTTTTATAATCATGTTACTATAAAGATTAAATGACCTAATATATTTATAAAGCAATTAGGAAATAACCTGGCTCATATTAATTGCTATGTATCTGTATATTATTAATCAACTTGTAAGCCTATAATACTATATAATAGGGGCAGGGTACAAATCAGTACAAATTTCACTTGTGTCACTCATTACTCACAACACAACTTCATATATAAAACAGGAAAATACTTTACAGCACTGTTACATTACCCTGTGTACATTCTCGAAGTAGAATGTAAGATCCCTAAGGATAGAACATTGTTTTATTTATTGCTCTATCCAGCAATTATACTACTACTTGGCACATAGTTGGAGATAAAAACTTGAATAAAATAGATGAATCCTATATAATAAAAAGGTAATATGCAAATTGACCCTAACAGCAGAATGACCAGAATGACCACTTGACCAAGTCACTATGAGGCACTCTGACCACCTCTTAGTTTCTTTCCCTGGCCAGCAGGCTCCAATCACCCAATGGCAAACGGGGAACCAGGAGTGGGTGGCAGTGGGGAGCAGGGCCAGCTGTGCGCAGACAAGGAAGATGGCCCTGATTGCAGGCCAGGCCTAGGGACTGTACCCATGCATGAATTTCATGCGCTAGGCCTCTAGTAAATAAACAAACATGGTTGAAATGTTTGGGACTTTTTCCAGATAATTACCCTGATGTCAAGCAATGAAGCATTAATTGACAATTCAAGATATTTAAAGAGACCTTTTACTTAATTTTATCTAGTGCAATGTAAGATGGTTCTAATTCCTAAAATTGGGTATCAAGGGAGGGCAGTTGGGGGGGGACCCAGGCCTGCAGAGGAGGGTAGTTGGGGGGAGGGGGGACCAGGCCAATAGGGGAGGGCAGTTGTGGGCCATCAGGCAAGCAGGGAGGGAAGTTAAGGGTGACTGGGCCAGCAGAGGATGATAGTTAGGAGTGACCAGGCTGGCAGGGGAGTGGTTAGGGGGTGATCAGGCTGGCAGGCAGAAGTGGTTAGGGGCAATCATGCAGAGGCAGGTAAGCAGTTGGGAGCCAGCAGTCCTGGATTATGAGAGGGATGTCCGACCACACATTTAGGCCCAATCCCCCAAACAGGCATTTGGACATCCCTCAAGGGGTCCCAGATTAGAGAGAGTGCTGGCTGAGCTGAGAGACACCCCCTCCCCCATGCATGAATTTCATGCACTGGGCCTCTAGTATGCAAATAATGTGAATAGAGCAAAATAACCTGATCTTTCCAAAGGATATTGTCCTGAGAAATTATCCTTGAGAAAGACCAGATCAGTATTAGAGAGAAAATTACTAGTCACTCTGGAGGAAAGGGAAGGAATAACACAAAATGCTTCTTAGGTCCTCTATTGAGCAATATGTATATCTAAGAATGTTACCCTTAGTCTCTTTGATTCACATCCTCTATAAATTCACTGTCCGATAAAGTAACCACTAGATACATGTGACTATTGACATTTAATTGAAAATAAATTAAGTTCTTCAGTTGCATTAGCCACATTTCAATGCATAAATAGCCCTATGTGTGGCTAATGGCTATCATATTACTGTGGAAAACATTTCCATCATGAAACAAGTTTATTGGACAGTATTACTCTATAATCTTCACTTTCAAAATAAACAGATTTTAAAAATAAAACAGGAAAGAATATGTAAGAATGAAGCAGTATTTGATACTATAACATGTTTACAGAAGAGGATAAAATTGTAAGAAGTCAAGCTTTTTAAAGTTGCACTGAACTGAGGTCAAACTTCAATCTCATCACTTGCTAGTGTGCAACCCTCAGTAAATTATTTCCCATTAAGCCCGATTATGAAACTGGTACAAAATGAGTGTAACACTTTCTACAGCTATCTCAGAGTTGTTGTAAGGGTTAAATGATATGAAAAGTTTCTAGTACAGTGCCTGGCATTTAGTATATATATTAGTTTCTTAGTTTAATTGCAACTAAAGATAATTTTTAGTATGTTGGCTACATGCGATTAACAGTTGGCAATTACTTTTTATTTTACATTTCACAATTTTGGTTAAGATAAATCTACCAATCATTTCCTTGAATTTTTAAGGTAATAAATGTACACTAGAATACACATATCACTTTACAAAATACACATATCACTTTACAAAACAAATTTTAATATATAAAATTAAAATTATCTGTATAATTTTAATAATAGTGTTAATTCTTACCTTAGATGAAATGATCCGGTTATCTATAAATTTCTGAGGTGTGTAAAGGCCATTTAGAGGAAACCTGTTGGCTATGTAAATAGTTCTTGTGTCACTTTGATGTGGTGGGTCAAAACCCTATGAAAAAGCAAAGAAAAAGTAATAATGGTCAATAAGATTAGTTGTGACTCTTTACATTTGGTTTTATCTGCTCAGATTACACATATCACTGGCCTTGAATTACATACAGTATAGACTCTATTTCTTTATTGGCAGAGTTAAGCCACATATTTTTTTCTTTCACAGGTAAACAGGAACATTTTTTTCAGATATAAAATAACCAGGTAACAGCTCTGTTAATGAAAACCAGTCCATACTATCAGAAATGCTACCACAAGAAAAAAATATCATAGAAGAGTAGCTAGGACCTAGTTAGCACCTACCACAACATGTGATGAAAAAGATTTATATTTTATTTATTCTACACTCAGATCACCGTGATTTCAAAGAACTTTGTTTCCAGAGGATTTAGAATGCATTAAGTCTTGCCAGACTCATTTCATACAATCATCTCCTTGAGCTAATTAAATTATCAAATTACTCCCTGAAATATGGTTATGTTATAATTCTGGCCTCAAATTTAAACGGCCATAGCTCAAGGTACATTTAATAATGATCTCTACTGAAAAAGTTTGTACTGATAAAGAATATTAATACTTAATTCCTATAGTGCCGTACTCTTTCCCAGGTAAATATCTGGATCCCCTTGACAAGCTAAAAGCAATCACCAAATGCCAAAACCTTTTTTTGGTTCTAATAGACAATGATTTGGAATTTCTTCCCCATGGTGGTCAGGGGTTATTTACTAGTTCTTACTAAATTAGAAGGTCAATTAAACTTGATATTCATAAACTAGAATATGAAAATCCAATTTTCAGATATTAACGACTCTAATTTTATAATCTACTGAGTAATGTGGCTGCCATTCAATGCTTAGGATCCCTATAAAATTTCCATTAAGCACAGACACACAAATAGTGGAAATTCCCATATTATCTAGACTGATATTTTATTTAGTACATAAGAATATTAACAGTATAATATATGATTTTCAACTACTGCTATTCTGATTTTTAAAAATTTATTTTGTTTTCTTGCCGAAACCGGTTTGGCTCAGTGGTAGAGCGTCGGTCTGTGGACTGAAAGGTCCCAGGTTCGATTCCGGTCAAGGGCATGTACATTGGTTGCGGGCACATCCCTGGTAGGGGGTGTGCAAGAGGCAGCTGGTCGATGTTTCTCTCTCATCGACATTTCTAGCTCTCTATCCCTCTCTCCTCCTCTCTGTAAAAAATCAATAAAATATGTTTAAAAAAAAAATTTATTTTGTTTTCTTAAAAACAGCTAGTACAGGACTATGAATTAAATTCATTTTTATGCTCCATAAAACACACACACACACACACACACACACACAAAGAAAACCACAAAAAATTGAAGTTAAATTTTATAGTGATGGCCTCATCTTGTAGATCTGAAGGTGCCATTTGGTGTCCGATTTCAAAATCAGTTTCTTCAAGGATAAAATGTGGCATGCATATTTATTTTTTCATTTTTTAACATTATTATTGTTGACACTATTACAGATGTCCCCATTTCCTCTCCCTCTGCTCACCTCCACCTAGTCCATCCCCCTTCCCTCTGGCTATCACCATGGGTTGTTATCTGTGTCTGTGTGTTAATGTTTATATATCTTTTGGCTTATCCCTTTACCTTCTTTCATCCAGTCTCCCCTCCCTCCACTCTTCTGACAAGTGTTTTGTTCCATGTATCCATGCCTCCGTTTCTATTTTGCACATTAGTTTATTCTGTTCATTAGAATAGAATAAAATTTAAATTTCAGATATAAATGAGATCATATGGTATTTTTCTTTCTCTGGCTTATTTCACTTAGCATAATAATCTCCAGGTCCATCCATGCTGTCAAAAAAGATATTTTTTCATGGCCGAGTAGTATTCCATTATGTAAATGTATTACAGCTTGCTTATCGACTCATCTACTGATGGACACTTATGCTGGTTCCAAATTTTGGCTATTGTAAATGATGCTGCATGAACATAGGGGTATATTCTTTTAAATTAGTGTTTTGAGATTCTTAGGATATTACCACATGTGGGTTTATTGGGCCAAAGGCAGTTCCATTTTTAATTGTTTGAGGCAACTCCATACTGCTTTCCACAGTGGTGGCACCAACGTGCAATCCCACCAACAGAGCACAAGGGTTCCTTTTCTCCACATACTCGCCAGCACTTGTTGTTTGTTGATTCATTGATGGAAGCCATTCTCCAATTATGTGATGTTGAGCATTTCTTTATGTATCTATTGGTCATCGGTATGTCCTCTTTGGAGAAGTATCTATTTAGGCCCGTTGCCCATTTTTTAATTGGATTTGTTTGTTTTTGGTATTGAATGGTAAAACTTCTTAATATATTTTAGAAATTAACTCTTTTATCAGATATATCAGCAAATATGTCCTCCCTTTCAGTGGCTTGCCTTTTCATTCTACTGGTTTTCTTTTCTGTGCAAAAGTTTTATAGTTTGTAGTCCCATTTGTTTGTTTTCTTCTAGGACTTTTATGTTTTCACAACTTACACTTAAATCTTTAATACATTTTGAGTTTATTCTTATGTATGGTGTATGTTGGTAGTCTAGTTTCATTTTTTTTGCATATACCTACCCACTGTCCTCAACACCATTTATTGAAAAGACTGTCTTTACCCCATTGTATGCTCTTGTCTCCTTTATCAAGTATTAACCATAAAGGCGTGGGTTGATTTTTGGGCTCTCTGTTCTGTTCCATTGATCTATGTGCCTGTTCTTATGCCAGTACAGGTTGTTTTTATTACAATGGCATCACAATATAGTTTAATACCTCCAACTTTGGTCTTTCTCGAGATTACTGAGGCTATTCAGGATCTTTTTGGGGTCTATATTAATTATTGGAATATTTGTTCTAGACCTGTAAAATATGCCACTGGTTTTTTTTTAATAGGAATTGCACTGAGTCTATAGATTGCTTTGGAAGTATGGACATTTTAATTATGTTAATTCTTCCAATCCATGAACATGGTATATGCTTCCACTTATTTGTATCTTCTTCAACTTCTTTAATTTTCTATAAATTTCCAAGTACAGATCTTTTACCTCCTTGATTAAATTTATTCCTAGGTACATTTAAAAACTGCAATTGGGATTGCTTTCTTAATTTCTCTTTATGTTAATTATTGCTAAAATGCCACTAATTTTTAAATATTAACTTTGTATCCTGCTACTTTGCAAAATTCATTTATTAGTCTAATAAATGTGAGGCTAATGTACAATATCATGTCACCTGCAAATACTGAGTTTTACTTCCTCCTTCCAAATTTGGATACCTTGTATTTCTTCTTGTCTGATGCTGTGGCTATGACTTCCAGTACTGTGTTGAATAAGAGTGGTGAAAGCAGACATCCCGTCTTATTCTTCATCTTAAGGGAAACTCTTTTGGTTTTTGCCCACTGATTATGTTAGTTTTTCATATACGGCTTTTGGTATGTTGAGGTAAAATCACTCTTTTCCCAGTGTACTGAGATTTTTTTTTTAATTATAAATGGATGCTGATTTTATGCTTTTTTTTGCACCTACTCATATAATCATGTGGTTTTTATTTTTTGTATTGTTTACCTCATGTATCACATGTACTGATTTGCGAATACTGTACCAACCCTGCATCCCCAGAATAATTCCACCTGACCACGGTATATGGTCTTTAAAATGTGTGCTGGGTCCACACATTTATTAATACTTTGTTGAGGATTTTAGCATGTATGTTCATCAGGGATATTGGCCACTAATTAAATTTTTTTTTTGTAGTATCTTTTTCTGGTTTTGGAATTAGAATTATGCTGCGCTCGTAAGAAGAGCTTGGAAATCTTCTCTCCTCTTGGATTTTTTAGAATAGTATGAGGATACGTGTTAGTTCTTTGACTATCTGGTAAAATTCGCCTATGAAGCCATCTAGTCCAGGACTTTTGTAGGCTGATAGTCTTTTTTACTACTACTTCAATTTCATTAGTTGTAATCAGTCTATTCAGGTTTTCTGATTCTTCCTGATTCAGTTTTAAAGGATTGCATGTTTCTAGGGATTTTGCTCAGGTTGTCCAATTTGTTGGTATATAGTGTTCATAGTATTTTCTTACAATCCTTTATATTTCTTTTCTTTCATTTTTTATTTTATTTGGGTCCTCTCTTTTTTTTTCTTTCTTCTTGATGAGTCTGGTTAAAGGTTTATCCATACTATTTATCTTTTAAACATGTTACAATTGTGTCTTGTAATAACTATGAGGGGGAAAGGCAGGTCTCAAAATCAGTGTTGGAAACCATTGCTCATCTTAAAGGTACATGACATTATTTATTCAACAAATATTTGAGTTTAAGTTGCATGATAAGTAATGAAGAATTATATGATTTGTTATACTGTATACCTGAGCAAATCCAGGTATCTTTCAACTCAATAAATAAATGAACAAGCAACTAGCTTGAATTCTAATACTGTAATCTCTGGCTTTATTTTTCAAAGGGGGGTTCATAGGAAGTTTGCTTATAAAGTTCATAAAGTTACAACAAATACACAGGTAACTAGAGCATTAAAATGCATGAAGCACATTCACTCACTATCTATTCTGTAACCATATTATCTAATAGAGAAACATGTAAATTGACTATATCTCCACTATGCCCACAGCCAATCAGAGTATGCAAATCAACCCAACAAAGATGGCAGTTAACTTGCATACATGCCTGGGTCCCAGGAACCTCCTCGGCACCCAGGTCACTCCTAGCCAGCCACTGGAAGGGCAGAGCCTGCGATCAGAGGGGTGGGGCTGGAGGCGCTTCCCAACCTAAAACCTGGAGCTTGGAAAGCAGCTGAGCCTGTGACCAAAGGAAGACCATCCAGAAGTCAGCGCTGGGTTGCCCAGCTGCAGTTTGGTGATTGCAAAATTTCAAAAGCAACAACAACAAAACAAACAAAACTCAAACCACAATGAAAAAAGCTTCAGAGTAAAAAATTGAAGAGGATTATTAAAACAAATGATGGAGC